TCAAGTAGGATCCCTTTTTAATTTCTTTTTACAGGCTTCAAGAATAACCTCTTTCTTTTTCCAGGCTCAAGAGTAACCTTTTCTTTTTCCAGGCTCAAGAATAACCTTGCCTTTTTAAAGAGCTTCTTCACTCGACAACTCTCTTCTATTCACGTTAAATAGGAAAACTATTTCTGGGTGATCAAGCCAAAAATTTCGTTTCTTCTGCCCTCAAGCAGGAAAAATGCAGAACACTTCTGCAGCAAATAAGAACCCGCAAGTTAACTTATTGCTAAGTAAAAACTTCACTCGTTTATTACTTCTTCTGTAACGTTAACCTTTACGTTCACAGGAATACACAGTTCTCGTCAGAAGCTGTGCTAGTGATCTAGAAAGAAAATTCCGAAAACTAAATCACTGCTGTCTAGAGCCTTCACTTGGCTCGGTCTCGGTCTCGATCTAGTTGAATCACGTCAGGAACGTTAGACTAAAAAATTGACAATCGATTAACTAACTTAATAAGTTTGATAGTCAATGGACACCACCCGGCGCAAAAAGGAGTACCGGCTGCGCCAATAATTTGTTATCCTTTTTATGTTATTTTTACTTTAAAAGACAACAACAATGAATAATCTAAGGGAACATTAAAAGAGTGTCTGGCTCTTTTAGAGGTTCTTAAACCCTTGATCGCGGAGAGGTGTATTCCAACGACGCGAGACCTTTGTAACTATTGCTCTTGTAGCAGATTTTAACTTTATTTTCTGTTAACCAATCATTTCCTAATATTCCTTGAAAATCTCCAAAACATTTTTGTTGAATCATGAGAAAAACAAGTTTGCTAATTTTATTCTTTCCATGATATAATGAAAGTTTCACTTCACCTTCTACAGGGATAGCTCTACCTTCAATAGTAGTAATTAAAATATTACTACGTTTAATATTTTCACAATTAACAGATTTGGGGTCTAGAATGGAAACTTCAGATCCTGTATCTAATAAAAATTTAATTGCAGGTTCATTCTTTGAAAGAGATAGGTAAATAACCGGGAGACGCGGGGATTTAGCGTACCCGGTCAATAATCGTTTCCCGATTCATCAGGTTCATAATAATTATCGGAATTACTATCTTCCATTTCTGAGGATTCTTCATCAGAATCAACGTAATCAGACAGTTCCACATTCTCGTCATTTTCATTCTCTTCGTTGTTTTCCTGCTCACCAGTCATCATAGCAAATATGCGACGGAGATTTTTTCCTCTGTTGTTAGACTTGGAGGTTTTTATTCCAGGTTTTTGAGGAGAATGAGATGGTCCAGGTTTTCCTGTTGATTGTCTCTGTGGATTCTGTGGACTTCTCCTGTTGGTTTGAGGCATCCTGGTATTCTGAGAAGATCTCTTCTTGATGTTCGGTTTGAAGTTTCTGTTGGTGATATCTGATGACTTCTGAGGATAGGTAGATTGGTATGGATTAAATTGTCCTCTGTAGGGTCTAGGAGTAACTGGAGGGAGAACAGGACAGTCAGTTCTATAATGACCTAATTCTCCACACAGATAACATTTGGGTTCAAAACCTGATCTAGAAGGATCCTTAAATTCCTTCTTCTTCTTCCTAGGATTACCAGCATTAGCATAGGTTTTTGTTTTCTGAACATAATTAACAGCACATTGGTGAACCTTTTTAGTGGTTTCCAGCATGTCCTCAACAGCTTTGGCTTCTTGGACTGCGTCTTCAAAGGTTTGAGGTTTCTTCAGGATCCTTGAGGAGATCCTGGTTCTGAGTCCTTTGAGAAATTGCTGTAACATTAGCTCAGATATTAATGAACCTTTTTCTAGAGCTGCCAGTTCCTCTTCTTTATAGATGGGATTAGGTACTAAAATACTTTCATTATTGCTCTTCTTTAATACCTTGATTTCATCTGTTTTTTGGGAAATGAGGGAGACTCCAACCAGGCGTAGGCGGACAACGAATTCGCGGACTGTTTCATTTTCTTCTTGGAAGATGGTCAGGTTCGCAAAGTTAGGAACACCTTGAGCACTTAGAGGTTTCAGGAAAAGGTTCTGAAAGTTCTAAACAACTATACTGGGTATTTACTCAGGAGCGGAACGACGTTAACTCAGGGTTCGAGAAGGACTAGCCTTTTGCAAAATTAATCCTTTAATATCCTCATCATTTAATCTACAAATAGTTATAGTAGTCATGAATTTTAAATGCCAGTCATTCCATTTTATATCTCCTTTTCTTCCAGTAAACATGGGAAGGTTAGAAATGAATCCATTAATAGCATGTTTATTAACACCTGAAACATTGGAGCCTGTTGCCTTTTGATAAAACACTAAATCATCAGCACTGGGGCTTTCCAATGTTCCTAATAAAGTATTGGATAATAGAGACTGTCTTAATCCCATGGTTTCTTCCAGGGTTTCTTTTTGAATCTGCAATTGCTGGTGAACGTAAACTCGATGATTTCGTCGAAGATCTTCCTGTACTGCTAATCTACTAGCATGCATGGTATCAAGATGTTTTTGCAGGGAAGTTTCAAGACTTTTCCAGTCATTTTGAATAATTTGCAATCTTTCCAAATCTGTGGTTAATGTAGCAGCCCTAGCCCCAGAAGCTGTGGGTAAAGCAGCTTGAAGCTGAGTAATTTGGCTGCCAGTTTCCAATAGTTTTCTCTGCACATAAGTTAATTTATCAGAATAATTCATTTTAAAGAACTCATTATTTAATTCTTCACTTCTCCCAAGCATTAAAGCAGGAGAGAGGCTCAGATGAGTTGCATTGGCATTATTCTGAGCTCTAGGTTGAGCAGAAGCAGAAGCACCTTCATTTTCGTTTGTATTCATTATTTTTAATTTAACTAGTGAGAAAAAGAGAAAGGTACTTCTTTTTAGTTAATTACTTTTTATTCTTTCTTTGGATCCTCTGGCTTAGGTTTTGAAAAATAGGTCAAGCAGTTATCTTGAACTAATTCTTGAATGGGTTCAGCCAGAAATGCAAGTTCTTCTGGAGGAAGAGTACAAAGTAATGGAATATATGAGACACTGGAAATTGTAGAGGTTGTTGTGGCTGTGGTAGTGGTTACTGTATTAACAGTGTGGGTTCAGCCAGAAATGCAAGTTCTTCTGGAGGGAGAGTACAAAGTAAGGGGAGGTATGAGACACTAGAAATTGTAGAGGTTGTTGTGGCTGTGGTAGTAGTTACTGTATTAACAGTGAGGGAAGGAGAATTATTTGTAACGGGAGTTTGCTCAGCAGGTTCAGAAGGAGAGAATTCCTCAGTTCCGTAAACACTTTCAAAAAGTCTAGAAATAAGATAAGCGTTAAATTGTTGAGCACGTAAAGTTGGAGGAGGTCTTGGGTTTGAATCAGAAGTATTGGGTTTATTATTCATAAAAAAGAACAACGAATGATCTAAACTAATTTTCAAACAATACTTTCACGCGATTCACTTGCTTCACACTTTCACGCGTCGAATAACTAGTACGGACTGTTCAGTTTGTACTTCAAATCTTTTTCTTTCTCGTTTTTAATCCCGAGTTATTGTTGAGCGCGTAAAGTTGGAGGAGGTCTTGAGTTTGAATCAGAAGTATTGGGCTTGTTATTCATAAAAAAGAACAACGAACAATCTAAACTATTTTTCGAACAATACTTTCACGCGATTCACTTGCTTCACACTTTCATGCGTCAAATAACTAGTACGGACTGTTCAGTTTGTACTTCAAATCTTTTCTTTCTCGTTTTTAATCCCGAGTGGATCTTCCAAAATAACAGAGGGCTACTGTTAAATCAGGGGCCAACAGAACTAACTTAATAAGTTCTAATGGGCTTCTGTCTTTAGAAGGCTAACTCTCTGACCAGAAGCTTATTTTCTTTTTTCAGGCCTTTCTGACCTCTTCTACCCGCAAGTAGGATCCCTTTTTAATTTCTTTTTACAGGCTTCAAGAATAACCTCTTTCTTTTTCCAGGCTCAAGAGTAACCTTTTCTTTTTCCAGGCTCAAGAGTAACCTTTTCTTTTTCCAGGCTCAAGAATAACCTNTTTCTTTTTCCCGGCTCAAGAATAACCTTTTCTTTTTCCAGGCTCAAGAATAACCTTGCCTTTTTAAAGAGCTTCTTCACTCGACAACTCTCTTCTATTCACGTTAAATAGGAAAAATATTTCTGGGTGATCAAGCCAAAAAATTGGTTTCTTCTGCCCTCAAGCAGGAAAATGCAGATTCACTTCTGCAGCAAATAATAACCCGCAAGTTAACTTATTGCTAAGTAAAAACTTCACTCGTTTATTACTTCTTCTGTAATGTTAACCTCTACGTTCACAGGAATACACAGTTCTCGTCAGAAGCTGTGCTAGTGATCTAGAAAGAAAATTCCGAAAACTAAATCACTGCTGTCTAGAGCCTTCACTTGGCTCAGTCTCGGTCTTGATCTCGTTGAATCACGTCAGGAACGTTAGACTAAAAAAATTGACAATCGATTAACTAACTTAATAAGTTCAATTAGTCAATGGACACCACCCGGCGCAAAAAGTCCTACCGACTCCGCCAATAATTTGTTATCCTTTTTACGTTATTTTTACTTTAAAAGACAACAACAATGAATAAAACTAATAGATTCCTTCAGGATTATCGGTCTTTTGCCGATTCCCAGCAAATCTCGTGTTTCTAAACACCCCTCATCTAAATTTTCGACAGTACGAAGGCGTTTGCATATATTTTTTTTCTGGATGTCAAAATGATATTTCAGGGATTTAGCGCTTCCTTGGTTAAATAATATCTTGCTACTTTTTTGTCTTCAACATTCCACTGTTCCGATTTTTCATGATCATTTGCAAAAATTAAAGAGATCCGAGCTTACTCACGTTCAGTTCAACTTCAATTCATGCTGAATAATTGGATGGCTGAATAATGAAAACTGAAATCATTTCCCCCGTTTCAGTCACCGAGATTTAAACTCTGCACAAACATAGATTACGTAATGAGCAATTCAAACTTCTTCTCTTCTTTTCGGAAGAAAATTCATCAACATCAAAGTACAGTATTGTATTTCATTCTCTTCGGAACAGGAGCATTTTTTTTTTCGAACAAAAGATACACACAGTCAGATTTCTTCGAACCCGAAACAAAAAGTCTCTCTCTCTCTCATTCTGTTAATTTTCGCAGCGTCTCAATATTCTTCTACTTTTTTCGTACTATCGTCCGGATCAGAGGCAAGATTTTCGCAGCACAACAAACAAGTTCAGACACGTGCGAGGAAAAAAAAAAAAAAAAAACCGCGCCAAGAATCATCGTCATCAAGCAGAAAACTCCACCAACTCCATTTCCTCCTTGTTGAGCTTCATCTTCCCGGCGTCTTGCTGGTAGTGATTGAAAAACGGTTTGGGCGGCGGTGGCGGCGGACGGAGTTTCAACCGCATCTTCCGCTCGTCTCCAGCTCCTCCGGCATCACTACCGATGACGTCACGATCCCCAGTCGAACTCGAGTTGATTCTGGCGTCCAGTTCGTACAGGACGTCGGACAGAGAAGTGAAGCTGAGATGGGGAGCCAGGGTGTAGAGCAGGAACCAGTCGCCGACCGACAGCTGCTTGAACACTCGCACCAGCCGCTTCCTCTCCGTGAACCCCACTCGACACCTGAGAAGGAAGACCAGGACCAGACCATAGAAGACCATGAGGATCAGTCGAGGAGGAGGGGGAACAACAAAAACACTGCCCTTTAAACTGAAGGGGGTTTTTCCAACTACGGTGAGGGAGCCTAACAAAGTTCTGCCTTACAATCACAGTACAGTACAGCCAACCTCTGAGGGGACAGAGACATTTTTTTTTACTTAGAGGAAAAAAGCCTTTTTTTTGCTAGCATAGAAAGAAAACATACATGCAATTGAATTGAGGATATTCTGGGCCTTAAATTGCTTCTTGAAGGACTCAACAGTACGATGCTTAACTTGGAAAGGCAATAAATACGTTTTCCCCATTTTTCGTTCAATTCCTCTTGAAACACATCAAGTTAGATTTTTTATTGCTTTTTCTCTTCTCTGTGTCGAAAAAATAATACCCAAAAGGCCTCCAGAAAATTTCATTTTTAAAGGTTTGACGGATCAAGTGTTTTTATTCTCCGTGAATTTCCAATAAATACAATATAAATATGGACCCAAAACTAAAAATCCACTCACACATCTACAAGATCAGGAAATTGAATTTATAACGACTGAGAAAACTTGTATTCTAGTACTGTAATGTATCAATATTATACGAATTTAAAGCTAGCAATCGCCATATTTACTTGAATACAACATGCACTCAAGTAAGACACGGGCCAGAGGGTTCGAGTCAAAAAGTTTTATAAAATTGTATCCCCAAGTAAGATGTGAACCCCATTTTCAGTGAATATAAAACTGCAATGCAGTATTTCAAAAATAATAACACCCAAATTTGTATTCAGACATGATTTTGATCCTGAATTTCAGTAATTTCAATCATTTACATTCAATTAGTGTTTCCATCAAAATTGGTCTAATAACTTTCCTTTAGGATCAAATATAATACTATACACACCTGAACTTCTAAAACTTTTCAAATAATTTATTATCACCTACAGAACACACCCTCTTTCCTCCTCTAAATTTTGAGAAAAAAGGTGCACGTGACACTACTGTATAATACTTGAATAAAAACGATAATTCAGCTGCTTTACTGGAAAAAATTACAGTAACAAGTCTACTCAGTGCGACATTATTCAGGCAATCTACAACCTTTTCGACATTCATTCTCATATGATACGAACAATTTATCGAAGGCCTAAATATAAAGTCAAAACGAATTGACTTACGCCAAGACTCTGATTTGCAGACCGGGGCTGACAAACAGAACCAGCCTGTAGAGCAGGAGTCCAGCAGTCAGCACAAAAAGCAGGAAAAACCAGAACCACTGGAACAAGTAGATCTTCTCATTGATGATGTTCAGAGGCAGGATACAAAGTCCTTCAATGGTGTCCACATTCCCGTTCAAAGCAAATGCCTGGGGGAAAAAAAATAACCCACTCAAGAAAAGAAAGGAATGCGGACCATAACATATTGGTATATGCGACACACACCTTCAAGGAACACTTGGTCATTCTCGGAAAAACAGCCAACATCGGATTCCTTCCTCTGAAATCCTCCTTCGCGAATTGCATAACAGAAACTCCGTATCCCACGAACATGCCGTCAAAAAACTTGTCAAGAAGGAACATTTGCCCTGGGAAAAAAAGAGAGAGTCAATTATTTCCTAGAAATTTCCAAGGAACTGTAAAATATACTCGGATCCGAACTACGGAATCCTGCTCAACATTCCGCCCCCCAGGGACCAATTTTCGCAATTCTCAGGAAAAAGTCCCCAAGTCAGGAGTCCAATTAGCAACCAAATAAGCCAGTTCAGTTCTTTCCCCTCCCAAAACAGGCAATAAATCTCGGAAACCGTGCTTCAACAAGGGCAATAAACGGGTAATAAAACCGTGCTCTCCAGACAAAAACAAACCTCTGTGGAACACCTTCTCATTCCCCTCCATTTCCCAGGCTTTCTCATTTTTTGTATCTGTGTGTTTTAGAACTCACCGATCAGGTTACCCATGGCCAAGACCTCAGCGAGCATGTAGCAGGCAAAATACCTGTTGCTCCTTTTCGAATTATGGCACAAGTAAGGGGCCACAGTCGAGGGCTGCTTCAGCAAACGCTCCACCGTTCCTCCTTCCAGCTCTTTCCAAATCCAACGTGGAATGTAGAACAAGATTGCCTGACAAAACACGTTCATAACTCTCGAAGTCAAACTTCAAGGGACCAGCAAAAAAGTTCGAGTCACGGAAACAAGCATTTTTGTCGCGGGAATGAAATAAGAATTACAGGAAATTGCAATTGGTGATATTATAGGCCTGAAATTGCTTCTTAATTGAGTTGACAGGATACTCAATTTTGAGAGGCAACTATTCACTTGCCAAAATCGTGTTTCGCTTTCTTTCAAAACACAAGAAGTTACATTTTTATTACTTTTCTCTACACATGCCAAAAGCCAAGAAGGCCCCCGGAAAATTCGAGAAATTGAGGTTTGAGAGGGAAAGCCCTGAGTAAGGGAGGTTCTTAGAGCACTTTTTCCAGGGGACCTAATTCTTTCGGTATGTAAAAATTTGATTACGTAATGAGGTCATCACCTGAAACACCAAGCAAAACGCCACCCATTGGTAATACTGCACGTATCTGATGTCTCCATCGGCGATTGACCCACGCCCAGGTCGAATGTGTGGAGCCACCTTAGAAAAAAAATCATCGGAATCAGAGAAGAAAAAGCCACGACACTTAACGAACGCAGTTATTGTTGAACTGACCTGAGTGCTGCTCGGGATCTTATCATTCGGATGATAATACGTCCCGTTCACCCAACAAATTGCTTCTATGTAGTCCTCGCTGAAGAGCTGCTTGTTGAAGGCACAATGGATGGATTTTCCAACCCATTGAGTACCGGACACCAACACAGTCGCACAAGACAACACAGCAACGGTGAACGCGTAATGCAAACGGAATATGGGAGAATCTGTTCGAGCGCCGCGAGTAGTGACGACCGATTTCAAGAGGGAGAACTTGTCGAACATTTCCAGGACGATCTTGCCACCTTCTACCAAAAGCAATTACAATAAACATGCACTACATTCAGTACTGTGATTAAACTGAATGGAATAAACGAATGATGGATCATCGGCTATTCATGAAAGCATGCAATTGAGCCATCGACAACGACACAAATGGCGAGAACGAAAGAGACGACCGTGAAGATCAAAAGAACTCGACGATATTCACGGGAAGAGCGTTTTCCTCACTCGAACCGGATTTACGTCTTAATCTGTAGATAATCGTCCATGCAGCATGAAAATTTCTGCCTCGAGCTATACACTACTCACATACCCGCCAAATATTTTTATTTTATGCAAGACGGTTTGAAGAGGATCCGAATCCAGCCACATTAAATTTTCCATCACTAAAAATAAATCCGATATTTTTCCAGAAGTGCTATAATTGATCAGCAGGCACAGTCTTCTCGGGGAAATAGAACTCTTGCTGAATTTCGGGTGAGAGAAAACTTTCCATATTCTAATGCTCATTGTTTTCAACAGGAAACGCAGGTTCTCAAGAACAACGTTTTACGATTTACAGCCAAAAGCCTTTTCGGCAAAATTTGAATTCATTCAAGCGAGCAAAGCCTGAGACTTCCGACCAACTTAAATCACAAGCACATGCGGAAACAGAACCTTCGACACATGTTCCTCAACTCAAAAGAAAAACAACACCACCGGATGCCGTAAAAAGCACGCTGAGGGTTGAAAGAAACCGTCGAGCAATAAATCTCTGGTTTCGGAGAGGGAAAAAATCGTCGCAAGCGTCCCAGCAGAAGCAAGGTTTGAACACGGATCGTTTTCACCGCGCAATTTGATTCTGCCTTACTGCTGGAACGGGTGACAACTTCATGACCAACTCAGAATTACTGCTGTTCAGTAGACAATGTACCGACTCAAAATACGGTTCGTCCCAACCAGCGGCAATGCAATGAAACCTTGATGTACGATGCCCTTCTTAATTAAGCAGACTACATATTGGATTACTCCTTTAAGGCCAAACACTCATCACACGCGTTGCGAATTCAGCAGGAAATTTTTGAAAACCCTCAGCACTTCAATTTTTTAAAATCCCGTGCACCTGCATGCATTTATTTGAGTTCTGCACTCTACTGTACATTAATTAATTAAGCTTTCCGTAATTAATCAGTTTTGCGCAATTGATTCGGTAAATTTCTGTACTCGACATGAACACGAAGGTAGGAAAATTGCACTACCGAAAAAATCATACCCCGCGATCGCAGAAAGTAGAAAAAGAAGAAATTCACTTGGTTAGCAGCAGGGAGAGAAATTAATTATAAACCTGGCAATCTATCACCGATTGAATGATTACGTAGAATAAGTCGGGGATTCACAAATGAAATTTAAATTCAAATAGGGAAAAATAGGGCAACCGATCCCTCGATGATCGTGTCTCTCGCTTTTATGATCTTCCGCAGAGTTGTCGTGAAGCAACCACTCGAAATACCGCGTAGTAACTGCCAGCAGGTATGAGAAATGCCATAATGAGACAGCGGGTTGCACTTGGGTGGGTGAGTTGATCAGAGGATTCTGGGGCTGAAGCATGTCTGGTTTCATTTAACAAATCTTGAAGCAGGTAGTGACATACCGTCCCACAGAAATGTCTGCATGCTACCCCTGAAAGGTATTGCGTTTATCATGTCCACAAGTGATCCTGCAACCTCGTTTTAATATTTTGGCTCAGTTGAATTCACCCTTTAAAATATCCATACTTACTCAATGTATGAAAAAAAACCAAGAACCAAGACTTTCTGTATGCTTTTTTCTTCAGCTTATCACAGCATTTTTTATTTTTGACTAATTTTCAAAATTCTAAAACACCATACACAGTTTAAAAACTGTATTTCAGTTAGATTGTAAAATACAGTATTCGTAATTCCCTAATTTAAGCAGTACAACAGTACAATCTTAAGCTAAGAATACAGGTGATTCCAAATTTTATATTTACATCATCGTCAGTTTATTAAACAGTACAATCTTAAGCTAAGAATACAGGTGATTCCAAGTTTTATATTTACATCATCGTCAGTTTATAAAATCTATCCCATCACAATGTTTTTGGCACTGTGGGATGGACCCTGATGAGTCAGTAGAACCACGAAGGAGCGCACTATGGCGGTACAGTACGGTAATTCGACAAGGGTCCGGGGTCATGAAATGGTGCCCGCGCGGGCGCGGAGACGTGTCATGGGTGTCGTTGGTGGTCGAAGACGCTAGTTCCCTTCCAGTGACGGAGCAATTTACTTCAGAAGGGAACGGCGAACTGCTGTGAGAAATGAATAGCCACACTGCGTAGACGATGGCGAAAATTTATTATCGGTGATTAGGCGAAAGTAAAATTCAATCGGTGACCAGAAGTTTGTTTGAAGATTTTGCTGTAATAGTAGCGAAGTTGAAAACATTTCCGGATTCATTCGGTTTCACTGGTAAAACTTCTTCGGAATTGCGCGTTCGGACCGTTGCGTCTCCGCGATTTCTTGTGAAAGTATTGACCGTTGATGGAAGGCAGATTAAATCTAAATCGTGAGTAAGAACGCGCGGATTTCGCCAGGATTGAGGGTGATGATCCCTGTATTTTCGTGTTCCTCATGTGGCGGTAGTTGGATTTCTTCCCCTGTTTCTGGCTTCCACGTCAGGGCTGGAACTCGATAGTATGTTCCGGTCAAGTAGGTTTCTTTGACACTTTTCGGTGCTGGTTGAATCAATTCCTGCAAGGAAATAGATTCATTGAGTGGACAAGGTTCGTTCGAATTTTAGAAATTCTATCAAGAATCATTCCTAGGCAGTCATTAACCACTGTGATTTCTTTTAAGTGCTGCACTCATTGGGCACTGCTGTTAAGCTTGTCAGCTTGTCGTCGTCCTCTTATGCCAAATTTTCGCAGTGATACATTTTGTTCTGCGGGCTTGTGAATGGGATTCGTGGCCTATTCATTACTCGCAAGGCAATGCTCATGCACACAGCTTCGTTTCAGGTGCAAGAAAAGATAAGAGTGAATGAAAAAACGGGAACCGTTTAGAAAAACTAATCGAGGATTTTTCCCTAATGTTATAATCCTTCGAAGCGCGGTTCTCCTGAAGTTCGCAATATTTACCATGATGTCAACTCGTGCTTGCGCAGTTTGTCCGGATTTATCGGAGTTTTGCTTGTCTGCAGAGATAAAAGAAAATTAGAATGACTGAAATGGGATTACATTTGTCAAACCGTGTCGCACTTTCGAGAAGGTGTTCCAGACGGAGCAGCAACGAGTCCTGCGCCCAGGGTTCAATCGAAGTCAAGACGACGTTTTCAGGCAAGGGTTTTTTCAGCAAACTCATCTGTCAGGAAATGTTTTGATCATCAGACTGATTCGTTTATGTGCAGTACGTAAATTTTCGTACGCTGTATACCTTTGTTGTTCCTCTGACCATCCAGTCACTGGCAGAGCTTTCTTCTGGTCTGAAGGAAAGAATCGGGGCCCTTGAGGTCGACAGCGCTTCTGTTTTGTAAGAAGACTCCGATTTTACGTCCGAATCCAGCACGAACTTGTGGACTCCGTGAAGAAGGGAGTCGCCTGTGGGACTCTCTTCTTTGTCTCTTGGCCAGTACAACTGTCAACGAATTGAAGTATTACCGGTAACCAAGAAACCTTTCGTAGTAAGAATGATCAGGTTATCTTTCAAGGGAAAGTTCTTCTCAATCGACAGGTGTTTGTTGAATACCATGAATTCTAGTTCTCCATTACGGAAACTGGAAGCAGCTTGAGTGCGATCAGTAATGACAGTGAATTGCCTGGGTAGCCCTGAAATCAGGTCATCTCGCAGGAAAGCCCAACTTGTGACGGGATACACGTCTTCGCCGAATCGGGAAATATTCTTGTGGGATCCCCGGTAGTTGAGGATACGCTTCACACTGTGCTTTCCATTCGAATCAGTGTAGAATGCGAAATTGCTTTTCAGGTCTGTGGTGAATCTTGACACAACAATTCCACTTGAAACCGAAAAATAGAAATTTTTGTTAGCATGAAAGTTTCAAGTTTGAACGAAGTGTTCATAAAATATTTTTGGAAACTAAGTCTCCTCGACACAAGAGTCGAAGAAAATTGTGGATCAATAAGTAGAGAAGAAACTTCAAATTATTCATTGGGAAGATTCATCAGCATAGGAATTCTTGCGATATTCCAAATTTGGGGTTAAAGTTTATTTTAGAAAAGGGTCCCAGTAGATTTTAGCAACGCTCAAAAATAAAGATGAAACAAATTCTGTAAGTAAGCTCTCTTTATCTTTTGTAGCTGATCTGCGCACAGGCTCAGGTCAAACTGATCTTTTAATACGGTGGAAAACGCTTATTATTGATTAATTGAGACGATCTTGGTGAAGTACAAGATATGAACATTGTATGACTTGAGAGGCCGTTGATTCAACTTCAAAAATTTTTGAAGTTCGAGATTGTTACGCCATCTCCTGAGAAGTGATGATTGTTGGAGGGGACAATTTTCCTGATTTTTTTCACTTGACGATTTTTCTGCCTGATTCAATTTAACCTCAATTAATCATGAGTTGTGTGGTTCCGCAACAATATCCTAGACTTGAAATTTCCGAGCATTTATCATTATACCAATATTATTTTTTAGAAGTAATTGATGAAATGATCAATTTTACTGACTTGATCTTGGTGGTATCCAACAGCCAGTGAGATTCAATGGCATCACTGCCTGGGAAAAGCCTCAAGATATGCATGGCCTTGTCAGCAGCACGTATGCGGATTTCAGTCAGGACATCGCCTGTTGGCAAAAAATGAAAAAGTAAATATCTTCCAGAAACCTTTCTTTCCCCGAGATTTTAAAAACTGGACAAAAGAGGGGGGGGGGGTGTTTGTTCTTCCGAATTCCGTGAGAAAAACGGAGCTGTAAATTAACCAGCTGGTTCAAGCACCGGTTTCAGCCCTCTTTATGACCCCATTTTGTTGCACTAGGGCTTTTCGGCAACCTGTTTATTAAGCTTTACCCTGCCCCACTTGTGCGACTTTGTTTTTTATGCACATCATTAAAACAAGACTGTCCACGTTTCCTATTGCTTTGGAGTCTTATGCTGCTGAGCGAAGTAATTGAAGCTTCTTATTTTTCTTCAAGTTAGTCTCCGTGTTTGGGTTAGATTCAAGTTAACCTTCATGGAGATGGGAGTGAGTTCAACGAGTGCGTGAGTGTGAGTCTCTCTTGTGCAAATGAAGTTACGTTTAAAACTGCACTCTTTCAAGTTGGCCAACATTGGTTTGTTTCTCTGATGACTGTGTATTTGAAGTTATCGATATTTTTGTATCTTAAATCGTATGTAAATCTAGTGCGCATGCGCCGCAATTCATTTCTTCAAAACGTCATGCAACCTCTCGCTCCTTTTGATTGTTTCGAGGTATATGTCCAAGGATTGATTAACTATAATGATTCGTTTTAGCATCAAGTTTTATTCGGATTTCGGGGTTTACCTCTGATGAATGTGACCTTGGTGCTGTCGCTGAGAAGGTTGGCGATTTCATTGTCAGGCAAAAAGGTGTGTTTGGAGAGCTGAGGATTGTTTTGCTGAGTGTAGACCAAAAAGTCTTGGCGAAGGTGAATCCTCACATGAGGTGAGTCCTTGCGCGCTAATGATTTAATTGATCCCCGCGATGCATCCATTGTCAGTGTGTAAAACTATAATTGTAGAAGAGGAACAATGTGGTGAATCCCTGTACGTGCTTTTGCAAGTGATGATACAGTGCTTATTTCCTTGAGAAGGATGAGGTTTACAGTATATATGTAGCGGATATGGGATTTTCAGAAGTGATCTTCGAGTACCATATTTCCGATCATACTTGAAAATAAGCCTCTATGCCGGAAAAATACTCGGACATGCTGTATTGAGGCATCGCAATCAGCTTTATAAATATGCAGGGAAGTTTGCAATTTTGTGACTAAAGATCGAGAAGTTTGCTCTTCATGCAATTATTTTTAGTGGTTTTGATTGAGCGAGACCTGGTGAAAATGTGCTCAGAATTTCCGAAACTTGACTCTTCTTGAAAAATCCGAATGTCGTAGCAATTTTTATTTTTTATTTTTGATAAAATTCGTCGAATGATTTGGAAAACGAACGTGGTTCTCAAAGACGAGGTCTGAGGTTGCATCGGCGCTCAGCTCTTGTTTCGGCCTATTGTTCTCATCTTCCGGCAACACGCTGACATGGAAACTAGTGAAAGACAGTGGTGCCAATTCAGCGGCCATGAAATTGGCCCTGTATTGCCCAGTTCCGGCGCCGAGTGAGGGTTCCGGTACAACGTCGACAGCCAACTTCGTGCCTGTCGAATGAAAAACAAATGTTTAAAGATGCGCGGGGCTCCGAGATCCGGACATAATTGGAACATGTCCTTTTCTGTATTTTGTAATGTCCGCATGTTGGATCAAAGTTTCCCTGTATAATTTGAGGAAACACTACTGTACTGTATTTAGATGAGTACCACGTGCACATTTTTCTCAAACTTGAGAGGAAAAAAGGGGCGTGCGTCACAGGTAGAGATGACGTCTACGAGAGAATGTTGAGAGTTTGGGTTTGTGTCACACTTGAATATTATGAGACATTTTTGACAAGGAACTGTTTTTAGAATACAAAATTGAACATGATTCAAAATCAGGTTGAATTCATGTACAAATTTGGATTCTGGCGTCTCTAATTTTTGAAATACTTGAGTTTTTCAGTAATTATGAATGGAGTGGGCGTCTTTTTTCGGGGATAGGATGTCATTGATATTTTAAGTGGGAATGTGTCTTACGCAAGGGCATCTGGTTCTTGAATGAAATGTGGCGTTAAATTGGTTCTCCCAACCATGAAACATAAGATATAATTCCCCAAAAATCGAATAAGTTGTGTGCCAAATTCAAGTTCTGGAAAATAACTTTGCCGAAGAAATTCACATAGACACCGAGGTTTGGCATGAGAAGGAGCTCAAGAAGCAAAGAACAAGTCTTGCTATACTATGTGTAGATGATGAAAAAAATTCCAGATAAAGTAATACAAAATTAGTCTGTCTTTGATTATGGAGTAGCTTAAATTTATAAAGAAATGTGTCTTCATCTTCGTTAATGTAAATAATACATCTCAATTTGTTCAAGAGGCATCCAAATTTTGAAAAAGTGTTTTCCAAATTTTCCATATGTCGGGGTCCCATTATATTGTACCGTACTTTCTCTCAAGAAGCCAAATTAAGAGGCAACAAGTGTGTGAGCGAAGTTACCTTCTGGAGAAGTGACGAGGTAATTTTGTGGCTTCCCTTTCGGTGTCGGGAATGTGACGAGGTATGACTGTGATCTCGGCGACGGATTATACACAGTGACGACGAAATATCCGCTTGTGATTTGTTCTGTGAGTTGGCATTTCATCTCCGTCAGTTTTTGTTCGCAGAACACGTGTGTACTGGACGATCCTGTTCTCGTTCCCAACACGCTGTAAACAAAGGAAAAATATCGTGCGAAAAAAAAGGTCAGCCGAGGAAAGAAGATGGTCTCCAAATGGGATGGAAAAATGTTCCAGCTCCCAAAATTCGATTATCTTTTCCTTTTTAATGAACTGTGGGATTTTAATCGTAATCAATTCTGTGAAAACTAAAGAGCAGGTACATATTCGCTGTGCTAATTGCTGCTCAAACTAAAACATTTCTAATTTATTTGGAAATTGTGCGAATAACTACTGTACTTCCAATATTTGATTAACTTATTCAGATAATGAAGCTTACTAGATTTGAATAATAAGAACCTACTGGTGAAACCAAATTTTTTGGTGGTGTTGTTTATTTTAGGAATTCGGCGACGGGTTGAAATTTTCTGCGACACTCGTTTGCTCGCTCAGTGGACTTTAATGACGTGTTTCCTCTTTGCAGACATGTTTCTATAAAGCTCGCAGAAAAAAAGAGTACTGCGGCTTAGTGAAGTTTTGATGCACGTGAAGTAGGAAAAGACGGGACGTGAGAATAAATAAAAGTGTTGTTCATTTTTGTGGAGAAGAGTCGTCACCTGTCGGCCGAAAACGAAAACATGTCATCAAAGGCCCGATCCGCGTTCTCGAAGGTCCGCTGGAAACCCGCAATTGCCTCAATTGACGAAGACCCGGTGAGTACCGTGTGCTGCAAACTCAGTGCAACTGCGTCGCGAAGAAACTGGAGATGTTTTGTCAAGCTGTCGAACCGGGAAATGGCCGCCCACTGTTTTCCTGCCTGGAAAGAGGAGAAGACAGCGAGAGGGGAGACATTTTAGGTGTACTGCACCAGGGTTGTCCCACTTCTGATTGACCTGGGTTATTCTAGAGTTGGTACCACTGTAAAGGAAACAAAAATATGTATATACAGGATATTATGTAGCCCATGATATTGTAAGGTTCTGGATTTTTTTTTCAGATTTACTGCATGATGATAAGTGAAAAATGCGCTTAGGTTTTAATTTTTTGCAAAAAAAATAATCATTGAAAAAATCTGAAAATTACGCAAGATGTGGGGAAGTTTGTGCTAAAATCAACATACAATTTTCAATTTTTTGTCTGGCCTGTGAAAGTTGTGTGACATGAGTGGAAAATACTCTCCGTAACTGGATAGTTTTCATTTATCATAATTTTTTTAATGCTAAAAATCTGAAAAAAATCCGAAAACCTTAGAATATTATGGGCTACTGTATCAAATACGTATATATTTTTTACAGTGGTACACATTTTTTTACAGTGGTACGTAGGATAGAAATAACAAAGGTCAATCAGAAGAGGGACAACCCTTGTATGTGGTTGAGAGAGAGAGGAATATGTACAGTCCATTATTTTTCGAGTTAAATTTCAAGAGTTCAGCGAAAAAATGCAACCTTGGGAGGTATTGAGTCGAAGAAAAAAAAATTTGGGGAAAGGAAGGTTTTAGTGATTGAAAAGCCAGAACATTTCAAAAATCGGAGAATCCAAAATTTAACTCAGAATGTGAAGTCAACTTTTCACACAGTAAAGAAATTCCAGTCGAAATATTCTATTACTGTATATTCAACTGTAAAGCGCAACTGAACTTATAATATTTTTTGAAATTTGTATATCGTCTTGTGACGAACACTCTCTTTTCCTCCTCCTAATTTCGCGAGAGAAAAAAAAAAGAAAGATGCGGAGAGGTCATTGAGTAATATACTGTAACGAAGAGGTTTTTGAAGGGAAAGGAGAAAAACTTATTTGTTGGTACCCGACTGCTGGAGGGGGTTGGGGAGACACGAAACGAACTGAACGACTGGGCTATTAACCCGAAGGCCAAATAGACCGGGTAATGGCAAAAGGAAGGAAAACTAAATCCATTCGCTCCACATGGAAGGAGGAAAAGGCGGCTCGACATGTGTTCAACCTTCTCCCCCTTATTCCGCGACAACCCTCACGCGGTCTCTATTTAATTCCATTTCCTGTCCTCCATGTTCTCGTCTAAATGTCTCTTTTTCTCTTCTACAGCAGCAGGAAAGAGGAAGAAGTTGCGATTTTGCGCAGTTGAAAGACCTTGGCTTATTTTCGCGTTACGATTCCGTTTTGGGCTGTCCAAAAGTTCTCTCGCGCGAGTGTTGGGTAAAAAAATAATGATTAAATCAATGTAGGGAAGAAAAAAATATTCCTGTGGCGAGAATTGTTGAACGAAAATTTTCGAAGGATCAGAGAGAATGCTGAAAAATAATACCGTCAGAATATAAACCTCCCAGACGAACCCATTTGAGGCTTTCAACTATTGTACACTATTCTGTTTTGAGTAATTTTTATTTCAAAGGGAAGAAATTGTAAAATCTCTTCACATTGAGTTACAGAAATACTGGTCCCATCTTTTTTTATTATTCCTAACCTCTTGAAAATAATATTTTGTATGAGACAGCTTTTTAATCATTCAATCTACCCAAAGACCAACATCAAAATTTTAAATTTACAAAATCTAACTCCATTTACGGTACTGTATGATGTGTAGCCTTGCTTGACACCCAACTGCACCTCAAGCATACCTTGAATATCAACGCCTCACCAAATTTGATGCCAAAACAAACCCACCTATTATCCGAATGTTTAACCAAAATGTTTAGCCAGAATAGTCCTATCTTGACACGATCATGTTAATGCAGGTGGACTTCCTCTGCAATCACCTTGTCTACACTGGTTTTCTTTGTAAAAGATAAATAAAGATTTTTGGCCCCATAGGCATAGGGTTCTCTTCCGATATTATATGGGTCATGTAGAAAGAATTAATTTCTGGCCCAGTGAACTTCATTAAAGATGAGAGTCAACGAGGAAATTGGTATACGTGGAAGGAATACAGTTACATCTCGGCCACACTAACGTGGAAATTGTGGCTTACGAAATGTGGTGCGACATCTACCCAAGTGAAATGAACATTCGAGTAAATGTTGATTTTACGGCTTTGTTGTTTCACCTGTAGTTTGGAGCTCAATTCCCGATGGGTGCGTTTGAGTTTAGACCTGGTGACGTATCTGCCAACGTCCTCGCTACTGCGAGGCAAAAATTCGAAGTCGTCCTTGGGACTCTGGGGCCATTTCAGGTCGTCTTCGTGGACGGCGTTGAGGTAGCAGGACGGGGTGGAGTAGAGCAGGTACATGTCGTCCGTAGCGGAGTTCATCAACCTGTTGCGAATAAACAGGGGCTCCATTTACAGTGATGAGCACCCGGTATGAAGAAAAAATCCGCGCAATGAGAAATTTGCGTTGCAAAAATGCATAATGGCGGATGCAGTGACTCACGTGACGGATTTTTTTTTTTTGGCCCAGGAAATGCTCACATTTCAAAGCTTCGAATAGAAGTGTAGAGTTTTGTGTTTTTCAAAAATTCGGGTAAAATTCTGTAACGCGAAAAGCGCTTACGTCTGCATCTTCTTTCAGACAATCAGATGAAAAAAATGCCTCAGGATTACTCAAATTTCATGATATTGTACTCTGCAGAATACAGTACATTTTAAACTCGCAATGTTATGCAGAAAAATAGGGAAAGCGATCAGTTGTATGGGTTTATTTCGCATTTTTACTTACACGCTTAATTATTTTACTGTACTGTACTGCACTTTACTGAGTGAGTTCATCGTAGTTCACTTTTCTCTCACCGTGTATCTGGAGGAAAGTGCTGCTGCAAAATAATGAAAGAAATAATCATAGATGCGGTAAAAGGTTTTACTTGATGAATGAATCGATGTCTTGGAACCATTCCTGGGCCGGCTTCAAGTGGAAGTCGGCTACCATAGGAATCAGCAAGTGGCCGCTGCGTGAAGCATTGCGCTGGAACTGGATCCACTGAATGAACTTTTCCGCCTGCACACGTGCGACGACGACGAGTTCGTTTCAAGAGGGAAAATACTTGTCGAATTAATACAGTTCCAACTCGAACCCTCAATAATTCGAATACTGTACTTTTTCTTTTGTCGAATTATTTTTTTTTTCGAGTCCCTGTCTGAATTCTTTTATCAACTATTCATTGAAAACCTCCCTAATTCGAAAGCTTTCCCCCCCCCTCCTCAAAGCAACCTCCATAACTCGATTTTATTGCAGGTCTTTCTTTATTGATACAGGAAAGAGAAGAGCAATAAAGAGTGTAATTTGATACGTTTTGAAAGGAAATGAAAGACTCATTGGGCAAATGAAACCTCGCCTCTTCCATTTTAGCATCCTGTCAACTGATTTCAGATACAATTCAATGCTTAAAATCTCACCGATTCCAATTTATTTTACTGTAATTCTTCTCTGTTTCCCTCAAAAACAACAAAAAAGCTCATTTCCCTAAGTCGTATTCCTTTGTTGGTTCCTTGAAAATCACTCATTTTTTGTCAAGAATTTGAGGCATCCGCAAAGAGAAAAAAAAACCTGGCCTGAGTTTTAATAATTTATTTTTTAAACCTCGAAATCATGGAAAATGTGTTTTTGGATTTCCATCCATCTATTCAACGATGAAATGGCTGTCATTAATTTATGCAGCTCTGCTTATAGCTCTGTTCTCGGCGATGAAAACATTTCGTCACGACTAACGATTTTTTAATCTTATTTTTTCTGTAGATGCGACACCTATGGTAACCGCGATGAAAATTGCCGAGTGACGGACATCCAGCGGAAGTAAAGCGCAAAAGAAAAGTACAGTACGGAGAGTTATGAAAAGTCACCCTGGTTCGTTGGTCAATCGCCGAGTAGATTTTGTTGTCCACCAGTGAGTTGTTGCACTTGGATAAATCGAAGCAGAACCCCTCAGTGAAGCCATCATTTCCGAAAAGCACCGAAGTGAATATTTGAGACGTTTTTCCTGAAGAAAATGGCAAAACACTGGATTTCATTAATTGAAGGCCATTATTCGAATAATGTAATTGTTGATCAAAAATGTTCTCTTTTCATATTTTGACGATCTAGGATTTATTTTATTTTATGATTTATAACATGTTCATGCTTGAATAATAATTTCGTCAGATCAGCTGTGTTATTTAAAAGATAAAAATGATTATACAGCAGTAAAATATACCGATTGGTTGAGAAGTTTGCCACAATGATTCCAAGGTCTTGTGAAAGTATCTCCGGTTGTACGCGCGCTGGTTGATGTTGGACACGAACAATCCATTGAATCCAGAATTGGCAAAAATGGAGGCTTGGGCGGAAGAGTGGCCGAATTGTTCTTGTTGCCAAGCTGATTTTGGCACTGAGCATTTCCCGAAAGTACTCTCCAAAAACCTGTTCATGTTGTTGAAAGAAAACAGTCTAGAAAACAAGTACCTCAGCATTCTCTTGTTTGTAGTCAGACGACGTCGATTTTACGAATTTAAAGTCCTTTTTTTAATAACTGAGAAAGATAAATTTAATATTTGTGCTCGATTTTTAATAGACTTTGGAGAAACCCCCTCCTCGTTTTGTTTTTGTTGTGAAAATGGTAGGACTGCACCTGTGGCCCGAAGACAGCGAGTCCAAGAGGTCAATGTAAGTGGAAGTGACCTCGTCAGACGAGGTCAAGGATCCGGTGCCGAATTCCAGTTGACCGTTTTCCACGAGAGTTTTCACGGCCGCTTGGTCAATTTCGTTGGACGATTTGAGTCTTCTCGAAAACAGCGTCAATTCAGTTTCCAAAAATCTAAAATTGGCGAGATTCGTTGTAACGGGTATTTTATACTGCAAGTGATATTTTTTATTAATTTACCTTCTCGTCGGATCTTTTACCAGCTCTGCGATGTAAGATTCGACGATCTGCTGGTGACCTGTTGAAAGTAATTCAAATTTGTGTTGCATGTGGCAAAAAAAACTTCATCATTTTGTCAATTTTCGCTTGTAAAAATGTGTTGGTCAACCTGGAAATTTCATATTTCATTACTTTTAAGAGTAGAAAAAATAAGTACTGTACTTCCATAAAACTCACCGCAGTTGAATTTATATTTTTTGTGCCGAAATAATTTGGATTTTAAGCATGGTTATGCCTGAAATTGTAATTTGTTTATTGCAATTTGTAATTTGTCATTGTTTTCAGATTTTTTGTCTGACATTTTCTCGACATTTCCTACTGCTGTGAAGTAGGAAATATTACGCCAGTCTTCAAATTGCAAAAATGGATTGACAATGAATTTTGAAAAAGCTGTGCTCATACTTGGAATTCTTTGTTTAAATGTGCGAAACTAGTGAAAATTTTAGTTTATATCCTGGAATATTTTTCAAGTGAGTTATGTATGGTTACATTTTGAGGGATCCTTTGCAATTTCGGCGAAGAGTCTATCTTACCTGAATCCAGATAATCCTTGAGAGAATGTTCAGTTTTTAGGAAGTTCGGGTGTCTGTAAAGTGGCACCAGGTGAACATTCAAAGCATCTTTCTTCCACTTGTTGCAATGCTAGAATTTTGGCACAAAATAAAATAAAAACAGATTTTTTTTCTACCTTTGGAAATATCGAAGTAGATTTTTGAAAGGGGTATTTTCCGAGACTCACCAGAAATCCGCATTCGGAATGGCCGGCTTGTGGTGCCAGAAACACACTTGCGGGCAACTGGACAAAAGCGGTGACGAAAATGGCAAAAACTGTGCAAAATTCTCTGCCCGCCATATTTTTTGTTATCTGTTCTCATTCGAGACTCGAATGAAGCGCGGGAACGAAAGCGTTTGGCCTTTGATCGTGTCCTGGCCTTCCTTTAAAAAGGACTCACTTCTCCGCATTAAGTTTTTTCCATCAGCGTTTGAAGCACGTGATCTTTGTTGATCTTTCAAATTTTATCGATTCGATGCATCTGCGGGTTTTTCCCTCAAGGTGCTACTGGGAAGAAAATGGACGCGATCATCGCTTTCTGACGAGCATCGGATGAAGAGCGAAGTGGAAACGTTTTTCTCTCTTCGAGGGATTATTATTTTTTTTCTTATTCATTGCAAGTTTTGAAAAGCGCTTTTCTATATTCCAGGTTCTCAAGTATCCGTTTCAGCTCCAAAAATGGAATGATTTCGATCCCATGGTTATTTTTGGAGTGATATGTCGCATTTGTTCCGGAAATCGCGGAAGTTCGTGATTCTCCACATTTTCTCCCGATGAAAAGGAAAATTAATAAATGAACGAGCGATGCTATTTTTTTTTCAAGGTTTTGAAAAAAATGCTTGAACTTTAATTTCTTAGGTGCTGTTGATGCTTTACAACGAATTTTTCGTTGTAGAAATTCTCCTTTAAACATTAGGCAGGGACCTAAAAAACGACTTTGTTGCTGCAAGCGATTATTTTTTTATAGAATATTTGTTGTAACGAGATTCTACTGTAAATTCAAAGCAGAATGCATTTTGAGCGAAAAGAACTTTTCTGAGCTAATTCAAACAGGAGATCACTGGATTATGTTTGGAGAAATTCAGGCTGATTTTTATTGAAGTTCAAGATTTTTCTGACCTTAACTATTTACAGGGATATCTCATGAGAATAGCTGTTTGGATAACAGGGTGGACCTGAAAAAATAATTGCAGAACCGCAATATTTTAAAATTTAAAATATTGTTTATTCGATTTTCTTCCAAATACTGTATGTCGAATTGTTCCTGGTCTTGGTTTATTTTTTATGACTTATGCGACTCTGAACGAACTAACATCCGGAACTTTTGCAAAGATTGTCCTATTTACACGCGACTTTTGTTTTGGTGTGAACGTTTACTGGAATGACTTTGCAGGGTATTATTATTTTTTCTCTTGATTATTTATTTTATGCTGATTATTCGATGGTTTTTTTTTTCACAGACGGAAGAGATTGCGGAAGAACCCGAACCCATCACCAGAGAGGTGCATAAGAAGCCGTTTTACCCGACGTCCTGGGGACAAGTTTACGATTCCCGTGGATGTCCCGACGTTCGTTTCGTGGAAAGCTGGAAGCTGGGAAATTATGCCTTCAAGAACTTTCTGGTGTCGATCCTGGGTCATCCGACTGTTTGTGGCCCTATTACGTGCGACGACGAGAGACGGCTCCGGTTCCAAATCAAGGCGACTTTCGACGAGAGTGTCGACCCGACGTCGAAGGAGAATGTGTTGCACAAGGTCCTTTATTGGCCTGTGAGTGTTTTGCGTATTTGGTTATTGTGCTTTTAATTGTATTGTACTCTTGAACCTCCGTAATTGGAACCCTTGCAAGTCAAATGCTGTACTGTATCGTACTTCCCCAAGTCAAATTTTCTTTTCAAAGTCACTCTCTGAGTTTTCTTGGAAACAAATGTTCTTATCCTAAGTTTGAAAACTCCAGGTTGTTTTGAAATAAGTTTTATCTTACTTCCAACGTCTCTTCAGTTGCCTGCACTTTTTATTCTGTTGGGATGAACTTCAAGAAGAATATGTAATTCTTATGCCCAGGCCTGTGTTAAGTGAAAAGGTACTTCTCTTTTGCAACAACAGATACCTGTAATTCCCTGACAACATGCTCAAACAGAGTCCAGACCAACTATGAGTATAGTGACAGAGTGTTCAGACAACCCTTTATAAATTTGATCCTTGCACAAAAGGCATGTGACTGTGGCATGGACATAAATGGAACCAGGAAGGCCAAAGGGGTAACAACTGGTGACCAGACACAATTTCCTGCGCAATTCAGTTGCTAGGCAGATTTAAAGGACATGTCTAAAACTTTGCGCAAGAACAGGGTATTCTTCACATGTTTTGGGACACACTAAATTTTCAAGATGACAATTCATGGTAAGCCTCCCCAACTCAAGGGGCTTCCCTCTCCAATGTGGATATTTGACTTGACTTTTCTGGAGGCATTCTGATGATCAGTTTATTGACACAGGAAAGAGGAAAGCAATAAAAAATGGCACTTGATGTGTTTTGAAAGGAGGTGAAAGAAGAATGGGGTAAAGCAATGCTTTTCTCCATGTTGAGCTTCCTGTCAAGTCATTCAAGGAGCAATTTAAGGCCCAGAATATCACCAAATTTCAATTTTTCATAGATCTTCTTCCATTCCCCCAAACACAAATGCTTGCTTCCCTAACATATAATGCCTCCTCAGTTGATTCTTTTTTGCTGATCCCTTCACCTATTTGTCATGTACAGAATCTTCATTATTCTTCTTCTCAAGATTGCCATTTACATCCCATGATAATTCGCTATTTTTCCTCCGCCAAATCTTGTGTGAAGGTTGTTGATGAATCGAGACAAGTTCTGGATCGATTGCTGGAATTGGGGATGGACCCGAACATGCTGGACGGCAGCGGGAACTCTCCTTTGCACAACTGCGTCATTCTGCAAAAGGTGGAATTGGCGAGATCTCTGCTCCTGTGTCGTGCCAATATCAACTCGTGGAGCTGGAACGGAGTCGGTCCTGTCGAGTTGTTGCAAGAATGTTGGATGGAAAACCAGGTTTGGATCACACGTGATATAATGATGCCGGGGATGTATATACTGTATAGAGATGATGAAAAGATTAATGAAATGTTGATTTTTTTAAACTTTCAGAAAAACGAAGGACAGAGTCTATTCCGGAATTCGAGAAGCAATGCGAAGGACTTTGAGATGAAAATATTGTTCGTAAGTGTCGGTTATTTCGTCTAATAAAGTAGTTAATCGCAATCATTTTCTCTAATTAATTGCTGTAATGAATATCTGACGTCAACATTGTTCGAACCTGCTAATTTTATAATTATCCCTTATTTATTCGTGCATAAATGACATGACTTTTGATCAGACCCATCCCAACTCTCCTTTTCCCAGTGTGAAAAGTACTTGTAGCTCAAAAAATCTGTCCGGCATCCAGAAAATGTCTCAAGATAGGGACACTGAACCAACATTCCTGAAAAAAGGTAGAAAACTGTATTTTTCAAAATTTTTAAATCCTTGGAAAAAATGTGAACCTTATGTAATTGCTGAAATTGGAAATAAATTTTGTTAGAGATTTACTAGGAAAGTAAAAATCATAATCCAGAACAGGTCGATTTTCTGCTCCTTTTTTCATCATCTGAGCACAGTATAGGAAGATTCGTGCATAATTTCTGTCTCCTTTTCATGCCGGAAGATTAGATCAAGTGTTGTTTTCTTCTGCACTCTTATTTTCTTCAACTTGGAGTTGAGGAAAATTATTTAACTTAATTTCAGGGGGGTTTTTTCTAATTTTTGATCCAACAGAAGAACCAAATCGAACATATTCCCCTCGAAGTCAACGGGAAAGCCTGAACTGACATGGGGATGATCGGACGTATAATAGAGACAATAATAATAAGGTCCAATCAGCAACAATTATATGACGTCCGCATCTCGGGGCCCCACTGTATTAATTAATATTTTAATGATATAATTTCAGGATGCTGCGTTGAAGCCAGAGTTCTCCAAGCTTGCCAAATTGGCGTTCCAGATGCAGTGGTCTGCACTACGTGGATCAGTGCGGCGTGGAGCAGTAGAACCCAACGAAATGTACTGGGATTACGAGGGATTGACAGCGTCGCAGTGGTGCGACACCTATGCCAGAGATGACGTGGCAGCAGAACTTCGTTTCTTTGTCAGTTCCTAGGAATCTTTTGGAAGTTTTTTCTTGCTGTAGAAGCATCCGTTCGTATATACCTGGCCCTTCTTTCCTTCATTGATTGCTGAAGTTTTACGCATGCTTGGGGTTTGTTCTTATTTTGTCTGACTTTCTCCTCTTCATTTATGCCTGTGTAAGTATTGTAAATGAGTGGATTCTTTTGGTTTTCGTTCCATCAACAGGAGCAGCGCTGGAGAAGCGGTGCCAAGTGAAGCAACTGATGCTGATCGCGCCAGACGAGGTCTTGATTGAAGCCCGAAGAATGAGACTTATTTCAAGATTTTTTGACGAATTGACTTCATTTGAAATGCCGTTGAACTTATTTTGAGTTGTCCATTGAAGCATTATCGTTTGGGTAAGGAAGAAATGAATGATTTATGACACGTTGCTGAACGCATGAGCAGTTCATTATGTTCACGAGGACAGAGAAGAGCAACTGATTTAAGAAAAGATGCTGTCGTGGTGAGTTCTTCAACGTCTGTACGCAGGTTCTGAATCCTATATGACGTTATGATAACAACGAAGGAAAAGAAATAAATACCAGGCATCTTGTTTTGTCTTCGTGGAATTTGTCCAACATATACCGCCTTCTACTAAGTACTTTTTGGTCATTTCGAGAAATTATGTTCTAATAACTATGAAGGAAATCATGATGCAACATCTTGGTTAATTATTTGCTAATGAAATGAGAAATCCACGTAAATTCATGCATTTGAATAAAACTCGGATGAGGGACTAGCAAGAAAAATTTGAGTTGGAAACAAGGATTTTTGCTCTGGGGGAAGAAAGAGGAATTCCAAAATATTTTAATCGGTGATATTCTGGGCCTCTATTGTAATTGCTTCTTAAATGAGTTAGAAGTATGCTGAACTTGCAGAGGCGAGGGTTAATTTGTCCAATTAGTCTTTCACTTTTTCAAAACACAAGCTGGATTTTTATTGCTTTTCTCTTTTCTGTGTCAGTAAAATAGCCCAATTCTTCCAGAAAATATGAGTTGGGGAGGATTTTTAATGCATGGTTTCCAATGGAATCCAGAAATGGACTTGAAGGAAATTTGACTTGGGGACTTCTGAGGCATCAAGGTTCAACTGTGCTATAGTTTATTCCCTTTTTTCTGCAGATAATTAAAATGGTCAGAATTGCCCATGGCGGAGAAAAGTGTCGACTGCGTGTTGCATGATTTCAGGGCGGTCTTGCAGGGCACTGTGAGCAGCTCCGAGGACCACGAGGAAGACGAAGTCATTGCGATTCTTTTCCTTGCGTGGCATCTGGGTGACGTACCCAAAAGTGACCTCGTCGTTGACATTCGGGGGAGGAGGAGGCATGGATGAGTCCCCCGGACCCGACCTCACGTCGTATCTCACCAGGTCACCGAACCTGGCTTTCCAGGGCTTCTGGGTCGTGTGCAGCCATTCCTCGTACCTGGTTGATTCACGGGATGAATAACGGATCGTAAATGTAAGCAAGAAAGATCAGTTCAGTGCCATTGATGTGCATTTGCCCGATTTGCGGTTTAGGTTATTTTTCACTACACTTCAATCTGAGTTTCTCTTATATTTTTTAAAGACAATTTATGATTTTAGGCCTTCGAGAATAATTTTTCGAGACACTGGAAAAAACTCTGCAGAAGAAAACTGCACAGAATCTGCCCTTTTGGGATGAAAATCAGCCTAAATCTCAATGAACAAGTACCAATTTTGCTTTACTCTGTGCACAAATGAAAGAAAGAAACCTCAAGAAGGAAAGTTGAGCGAATTTGTGACACAAATGTTATGATTATAAATGTCTAAATTCATTCAAGAGATATCCAGAGTGAACAAATTTTTTTTCCCCAAAATTTCTAGAATTTTGTTGAAAAGTCCATATGTTGATGACATTGTCCAGATGTTTGGCACAGATTTTTCAAGCTTTGAGTGTACCAAAGTTGAATTGTCCGAATGTTGGGGCTCCACTGCATTTTGTTCTTTTCTTTTACAGCATTAGCTTTCTATGATCTCGGAAATTTCATTTTACTGTAATTTTCCGAGAATTGGATTCATGATTGGAATTACTGTTCTTTTACATTTTAATTACTTTATGTGCCATTTCTGTTTCTCACGATCGTCTCAAGTATAAGTTGTAAATGCAGTTATATACTGTACAGTTTTTTTGGAAATGAAACGCGAATTTCTTTTAAATCCTCTTGGAACATTTCAGCAGAAGTCTTCCGGTTTAATTGCAGAAAACAAGGAAGCGTGCATTGATGGTGTATCTTATTCACCTGTTCCATCGCCTGGCGTCGTTGACAATTCGCCGACCTGCCTCGAAATTGCAAATAATGTCCAGACTGCCGAAGTACAACATGACTCTGTAGTTGTCCAGGGCGAATTCCAAGTTTTCCAGTTGGGACTGGGCCAAGTCCGTTTTGAAGTTCCTCAGGATCTCCTCGCTGAAGGACAAGAAGGGCATTTCGCCCACGTGCAAATTCCTGCGTGTCGCGACTGAGGAGAGGAATGCCTCAGCTGCTTCGTATGCCGGGGTGAACAAGTACGTGTCCCGGGGTCCACGAGTACTGTGGTACTGGTCGAAGCCAGTGACCCGTTTGAAGTACGTGTCGTTGTGGAATGCGCCGAATATCAGTTGGTCCATCACCTGGATTGTATGCGAACATGCGTGTGTTATTGTTATTATCATCCTCATGAATTGGGGAATAATGATTGAATAAGCTAAGGAAACCTATACAGTCCATAACATGCACATATTCCAGATACTGTAGTGCAGCAAGTTCGATTTTTTGTGCGGATGTTCAAGTTTTTTCAAACACTTTGAGAACATTTCATTTGAAAATTTTACTCTACAGACAGTAATGTATGAAAAAGTAAATACTAAGAGACGTAATTGGTTCATGGGTTTTTTCCCAATGTCAAAAATTCTGTTTATGTTGGATCACATTTTTCCATAGACTTCAAAGGTATTGTTTCTCCTGCAAACTAAAAATTTGGAAAAAGTGTCCGAAACATTCTACAAACTGGACGATGCAGAAAATAACAGTGGAAAAAAGCCCACTTGTAAAATGCTCTTTTGGCATGAAAAGGAGCCAGAAACGGAAAGAACAAAGCAGAACGTGTCTTGCAATATTCTGCAGAGATTATGAAAAAGAAACTCTGAAAGAAGTAGCGCAAAAATAACTTGTTGTGGTTAATGAATGACAAGTATGATGAATTGATGATACATTTTGGTTTTTCCTATTTTTGTGAATGTGAAAAGCACAATTTATTGTTCAAGAGATACCGTTTATACAGTATAGTAGTATACACATTTTGAAAAGTGACATATTTCTTTTTGTCTGGAATTGTTGATCAAGTGTAAGCATGTTGAGACATTGACTGGATTTCAGATGAGATTTTCAAATTTTCAGGTGTCTTTAAGTTGAATCCTATATATGTTGGGATTATGTCCATATGTCAGGTCCCTTATTGTAGACTTGAAACCCAATTTTCTGGTGTTTTTGCTGGGAGGACCTTCGAAAAATTTCGTTACAACATAATTTGACCTGTGTACATATTTTCTGCGAGCATAATTTATTTGTCAGTCTCTACCTGACTAATGGTGACTTCGTTTTTGAAAATATAATGTAATTATTCCTTTTTTTTCTCTGTTACAGCGTATATTTGGATATACAGTATGTATAAATGTGCTCACATCAACGGATTCTTCCCATCTGCCTTCATCAGCCAGATGAACAGACTCAGAGGCCTGCAAATCAAAGTGATTCCTTTGGATTTCGTCAATCATGCCGTGGCCAAAGAGGAAATCCCCGTAGTGGAAGTTCTGCCTGGGATGAATCATGGGATTGCCGATAATGATGCCTTCGAGCGGAAGCGGAAGTTGCAACCTCAAGGACGCCGACGTGACGGACTGGTGCGGACTCGCCCTCAGAGCATTGTTCCTGTCCCCGATTTTCCGGGCCAGGGACGGCACAAATTTCCCTGTCGATGATGATGAGAGAGACGCAGCGAGACATTTTCGGGCCAATTCTCTCTTTCGATGATTTGTGAAATTATTTGTTTTATCATTTTTTTGTAGGAGGTGTTGATATACTGCACCTGAGTAGGACTGGCCGGTGAGATACAACGGGAAAATACTGACGGTGGGGAACAAAGCGTAGAATTGGACCAAAGCTGCGTACAAGTCTTCAGTGGACTCTGCCAATGACTTCGGTCGACCATCAGGTGCAGTGAAACTGTAGCCTGCAATAAAATATGCGATCCCGAGTGAAATTTAGTTGTACAGTACTTGTAAACAACAATAACCCAAACCTCCCTGTGTCAAACACTTCCAAGCTTTGCCCAAAATTGTTCAAGTACTCAGACTTCTCTCAGAAACGATACACTTGAAAAACCTCTATAACTCAAGAGGTTTTCACTCACAAATCTCCATGTAACTCGAATTTTCCACAGGAAAAAGAAAAGCAGTGAAAATGTAACTTGATGTGTTTTGAAAGGAAGTGAAAAAGTAATTGGACAAATTTATGAACTCTTTCCTCCAAGTTCAGCATCTTGTCAACTCATTTGAAATGCAATTTAAGGCCTAGAATATCATCAATTACAATTTCCTGTGATTTTTCTTTCTTTCCTCTGAAAATAAAATCCTTGTTTTCCAAATTTGAAGCCTCCTTGATTTGAATTTTTAGGGGTCCCTTGAAGTTTGACTGCTGTAATAACAAAGCTTTGCTTTTCCTTGAAGGTATGAATTCTGATGAATTTGCAATGCAATTGTATAGTCTTTGTCTGACTATTCTATTGAGAAAAAGTTGTTATTCTGTTATTGAGAAGTATGTTGGTCAACTCTGAAAACACTCAAGATTCAAGTACAGTACTGTAATGGTATGAATGACTAATGACAAAATCGCATTTGTCATGTCACTTAAGCATGACCGGAATGTAGTCAACATTTCATTATTCCAATTTTTGGGATCAAAAAATGTATTTCTATATTTTCTAATCAAATTTCCCCTGTATTCTTGAATTAAAAGCAAAAATTTCCTAATTAGATAATCCTCACCAACTCCCAAGGGTTGATCAATGTAAATAACATGATGCTCTTTGCTCCAATGATTTTTTCGCTTGACAATTTTCAGGGAGTCTTCATCAACTGCAAGAGGTCCATTGTCCAGAAGAACATTCAAACTGGATGCTGCTCCAGGTCCTCCTTCCAGCCAAAGTAAGACAGATGTGCTCCTTACAGTTTTCTATGCGAATGATGAGTGAGCAATATATCAAATACGCTTGTTACCAACTCATCTTGATGAGGTGTTTATGCACTGAACACTGTAAAACTTGAGATTTAACAACAAATATACTGTAGTTTGTTCTTGGCTAGATTGAACATCTCCATCACTTGACCCACAAAAAGGGTTTGATTTCGCAAGTTTTAGACATGAAAATTATGATGGTGAAAATAGAAGTACAAGTAGCTCAGTAAATGCAAGACCAGTTTTCCAAAATGCTGAAGAAAATTAGTACTTGAACATTCGTATTAGTACAGTACTGTACCTGGATTATGCTGGAGTTTGTTGGCCTTCTTTAACATATTAATCTTATATTTGAAAACAACATTTAGAAATACAGTACATTATTGTGTCTTGCTAACATTCAGGTGCAAGTTTTTACCTGAATAGTTCTTTTGAAAACTTTCCTCTGTAATATTAGTATTGCAACATTTTATCTTCATTATTTGAGCATATTGGCATGGCATTTTTTTACCAATTGGCAAAATATGAGAAAATCCAACTTGCGCGAACTGTACTTAAACCTTCAAAAATATGAATTCCAATTTTGTGTACAGAAAATTTTTCATTGTAGAAAGTATGAAGCTGTTATCAACATTTATCTAACTTTTTTTAGAATTTGAAAACCGTAAATCTTCTGAAAGAAAAGTATGTTTGAAAGAATGCTGCTGTACTTCAGGGAACATACACTTGTTATTGAATAAATGATCTTATCATGCACATGCATATTCCATTTGTTTTAGCATGTACCGCTTATATTTATTTAAATATTCAAGAGAGGGAAGGTCCAAAATGAGAGACATGTATTTCCCATTTTGAATTTTCTGTATTATTTCATTAAAAGAAGTTGGAAATTAGGGCAACTCTTTTTATAAAGTTACTGTATATCTTGTGGAAGTGCAGTTGAAAGCATTTTATGCGTTTCCCATAACAGTCAAGTTTTAAATGCTCAAAAGAACCAAAAAGCTCACAATAACAAATTTGTTCTGAGGTCCCTTTGGAGTTCGTTGTATCGAGATTTTACTGTTCATAACACAATTATCTAATGTTAGCCTCTTTTTCCTCATCGGTGAAATTTTATTTTATGGAAATTGTACCTTTTGATTTGATGCAAGATATTGTATTTAAAAAAAAAACTCACCTCAGCTGGAAAGTACCAGAAGAAAAGGTGAGAAAAATGTGTTTCGTTGACAGTGAGGAACCCGGAGTAGCTTTCCAGGTCACCAGCGACCTGTTCGAACCCGTGAACCCGGCTCAAATTCCGGCCGTACTCCAGATCCCCCGTCGTGATGAAGGGCGTCAACAACAGGGGATCCTTGAACTCGTCGTAGTAGGGAAATCGCTTATGATGATGACGATGATGATCATCCCCTGCTGATGACGGTGAGTCATTGATGCACTGACCCGTCGTTCTCTTCAAATTGACCGAAACCAACAGCGAGAGAATTAAGCGAGTCATTATTATTCTGCCTGGCCTCGAGGCCGTGTGACGGGTCATCTTGAATTTTGAAAAATAAAAAATTTGGTGAGAAATATCGTAGTGTACATTTACAAAAACTGCGTGTAAGTGTCGCACGTTTTTCAATAAAAAACGAAAAAAAAGCATCAGCTGGAAAACGATCATTTTGAACCTTTTGTCAAAATAAATGGCAGCTAATAACCATTATGAATATATATTATTTGAATCGACGCATTTAAGCGTGACTGTCACTAAATTCAACGATTATTTCAACGAAAAAAGCCTTCAATTTTTTTGATATTCCCTCAAATATTTAAAGATGAACGTTTTCATGGTAATTTGTTATTATTCAATGAAACAAAAATCATAAAAAATGTTCACAACTTTGAATTCCGCATGCGTGGATTCGGTTATCACTGAACCATTTGATATTCGCGAATGTGCCCGTTGAAACCGAAATTGTTTGTTGGGGAAACAAGAACGAATTTTGCTGATTAGATTCCGCATTTTTCAAAAGGGGGGGGGGACACATTGGCCCTTTTTTCTCAATCATTTTCGAATTTGAAAAAGCAAAACAAAAGAAAAAAATCCTGAAGCCCTTCAACTTCAAACAATAATGAATGAAAAATAGCTCAAACGTCCCAAAGAAAAGGTTTATTTTGTCTCTTTTGGCCAAAAAATGTTCTTTTCAATGGTTGATTTGGTTTGACATTGGGGAGATTTTTTCATATTGAAAAATATGCTTGTACTGAGTTATGATGAGGTACGTAAAGTGGTAATTGAATGATGAGTATGATTCAAGAAAAATGTCTCTTGGGTGCTGTTCGGCAGGATGTGAACAAACACGTGAGTTGAAGATATTCCTGAATCAGAAACTGGAATTTTTCCGTTCATTGATGACTGCTGGTTTGATATGTTCAAAAAAATTGCATCACCGCCATTTCAAGTGGATATATAATCACTGTAAAGAAGCGTACGATTTTGAAAAAAGCATGCTTTCCTAGAATGCCATACTGTAAATAAAAACATCTTTTTAGCAAAATTAATATCTGTCTGTAATAATTTAATTGTAATTTTTCGAGTATGAAACAATTAAATAAAATTTAAATTGTGTTTTCCATGCGTTTGAATGGAAATACGTGTACTGTATATCAATGAGTGCCAATTCTTAAGTGAACAAATTTAGTATTAAATGCCACGCAAATGGAACAATGCATATTTGAATAACCTGCTCTGGAATTCCCGGAAATGAAATTTTGAAAATAGTATTGTAAATTTGAGAATTTCTCATGCTGAATTACGTTTTTTCTTTATAAAGAATCAATATGACGATTCAGTTGTAGGAGAAATTTAGAAGACAGTTCCAGAATGTTCTCTCGTGAATACTGTACTATTTACAGTACAATACAGTATTTATATATTGCCCATGGTACTTTGATATAATTGGAAATTATAGTAGATTAAAAAATTAATCTAAAAAACCACGTTTTCAAAAAGCAAAAAATAACCTTAAATGTGGTGCGCATCTATTTCATTTGTATTTCACTTCTTCCCAACAATCTCCATGCGCACCACGTTTAAGGTTATTTTTTGCTTTTTGAAAACGTGGTTTTTTAGATTAATTTTTTAATCTACTATAATTATTTTATTCTTTTTAAAAAATATTCTTAAAATTTATTTTTTCACAAAAGATTGCATTGTCATCAGTTTCTAGGCTATCCTGAAAGTTTCAGCTTGATAGCTAGTCGGGAAGTGAGTGAAATTTGAGTTTCAAAATTTGATCCGGACAAACAAACAGACAAGAAAGTGAGTTAATAAAAACGTGTTAATTAATTAGAAAAAAAAATGTTCCAGGGGGTGGGATTGAACTCGGACCTCTGCGACCAATTCAGTTCACCATGGGTTTTTTTCTTGGGGCCAAGGAAAACCTGCTCAAAGTTTTATTATAGAAATCTACTAAAATTATTTTATTCTTTTTAAAAAATATTCTTAAAATTAATTTTTTCACAAAAGATTGCATTGTCATCAGTTTCTAAGCTATCCTGAAAGTTTCAGCTTGCTAGCTAGTCTGGAAGTGAGTGAAATTTGAGTTTCAAAATTTGATCCGGACAAACAGACAGACAGACAAGAAAAGTGAGTTCATAAAAACATGGTAATAAAATAGCGTAAGCTGTGGATTTACTTTGGGGGAAAAGCGCTTCTCAGAGTGACCAGTTATGAAGGCTATAACGCCGGGAAAGTTAGCTTCCAAGAAAACCGCATATTTTCCATATTGTCCGTATAATATAGTTTCTTGCTGTTATCCGATTATGATTTTCGCGATGCTTCTTCGAATTTTTGCTGCAAAATTTTGATTCTATCATGACGAAAGTTTTGAAACAATGAATGACATTTTATTTTTTATAATTATTTTGCAGTAATGATGAGAATGCAGGACGCAATTTTGTACATATCTGAGGCTGCTTCGTCAAGCAGAAGAGGAACGCCGCGTAGTTTACAGTGAGACAAGTTTTGATAGTGGGAAGGCCCGATATCACCTAGATGTCGCTCCTGTATAACACAGTACAGTGCATTACATGGCCGGCCCATTGGTGTATCCTCCATATATAACCCTGCCCAGGACTTCGTACTAGCGTCCCAGTGCTTGCTAGTACTGGGGCAAGTGCACCGCGCTCCCAAGCTGGTGTACGGGGTTCGAATCCCAGCTTGGGTAGTTGTCGGTTGTACTGTGGACGGTGCGCTCCCATACTGGATACGGGGTTTGAAACCTCGGCCAGGGGAGTTGCACTGCGCCAACTCTTAATGACTTGTAATTCATTATATATTGATATACAATTAATGTTAATGTGTTAATGAAAAACATTCTCAAAAATCCAAAAAAATCGAAAAACAGGCCTCAAAAAGGAAAGGCCAAAAAAAAGCAACCGAAAAAAAGATTAATTAATAATTAAAGCAACTTTATTATTGCCTTGTTTCGCCGCTCATGGCTTTTTGCATGCATTTATTTCAAGTCTCGTGTTTGGCATCCTGGATAATAATATTTCTTGATACTCTATAAGAGATTCAATATCACGACCGGCCGACTACACTTGAAGGAGGAATTGTGGCGACAGTTTTTGAATTTTCTCTGGGATATACACTGAATATACTCTTGTATGTTGGCTAAGTGTTGCGACGGCTAAGAAGCTTTATGCTGGTAATAATCAAACGACAGGAAATAATAAAAATACGGACGTGAAAAAAGAAAAGAAGAAGAAGCGAATAATTCCTGGAAAGGTATACGTACTGTATAAACAAAAGATAATAGCAGTACTAGAATAGGCATGAACTATTTATTCCGCGAAAATGTAAAGAAGCACAGCAGGACTAAAGCGAACGTCGCAGTGAAATCGGCGAAGGGCTTCGGAACTCCGCCGTGGTTGCAGTACATCTTCAATCTGCAAGCTTCTACATTGAAGCTGTGCAATATGGACAAGGAATTAATGGCAATAATTTATATTAGTGCAAACATATAATGAAGGTTCGCATCGTCCCCATATTCCTACTTGACCAAATTTCCTGAAATGTTCGCCAATTACTGCATGTATACTGCACTGATGTATATACATGTGTATTGTAGCTATAGTTACAAATATAAATATATAGAGTAGAGCGTGATGGATTCCAACTTTGGCAGAAAAATGAGTAATTTGATCCCGAGCAGATGTCGTTGCTATCGATTACATTTGTTTCTTTTCAGAGTTGGATGATGATTGTTGACCAATTAATGAAACGTTTTCAAGTTATGAAGAACCTGAGGATTTTTTCTTCCCCTTGAAATAAGTATTCAGTTCATACATACAAACCTCCACAACTAATTTTCCTTTAAAATCTTCATACAACTCAAATTGTCAATGGAGGCCTTCATTTTTGGACTTTTCTTCTAGGGCTCCAGGAAAGAAATGCAAGCAGTAAAGATGACACCAAATGCAGCATCATGGCAACTCCTTTATCCAAAAGTTTTCAAGCTAGGCCCTTGAACTCACCAATTTTACTTTTACTTTATAATTCTTCATTTATTTCCCTACAAGCGCAAATCCTTGGTTTTCCTTAAACCCAAAAGCTTCCTCATTCAACTTCGAGTTATTTGACTCCTGTTCAAAGAATTTCAACGTACCTGACCAATCTAGACAAATTTCAGGGGGTGTCTGTACAATGGTCAATATGAGTACACTAAAATGTACTTTACTAGAGGGTATATCAAAGTTAGAAAACAATTTAGAGAATGTTTCTTGTTATGATCCACCTGATCCGATTGCCAAGTGTGTCCACAGTTCTGATCTCCCACTTTTCTGGATCCTCTGTGAGTGGGGACATGACACCACATCCCTTTGAGGCAACTGGACCTTGTTTCCCTCCTTCCTTCTCAGGAAACACTGTGTAGTAAGTGACACAAGCATTGTATATTTCTGGGCAGAAAGCATTCTTCTCTACCCCTGTGTCCAACAGGATCCTGCATGCAATGCCATCTATGTATAACATGAGACATCAGAGCTGGATTGTTTTATCACACATAGTACATTAGTATGCTTGAGTAATCTTCAACATTTAAGACAACACTTGGGTCATATATGCAAAGAAAGAAATATAGGCCTCATGTAAATGATTCAGACTGGTGATGACTGAAAGTAAAATACATTCTGGCTGTATGGGATTGACTGAGGCTTTCTTCACTCATAGGAAACCTTGGCCAAAAACACAATAAAAAGTTAATTGGCATAAATTCCAAGATTTCTGCATTGGTTCTCTTCCCAGCTCTTACATGAAAACTTTGGAGGATTATCAGAAGACCCATTTGATTGTTCAAAGTCAAACCTATTTCACATACAGCATTATGCAGAATATCAAAAATACATAATATACTCACTGGTAGAATGAAAAACTGTCAACAGGACCAAAACCCCTGGCAAGATGATGGTGATAAATCTGCACAATAAAATCTTGAAGGTGATTTCTGCTCTTGGCCATTGGCCAAGTTTCATGTTATGAAAGCAGTGGTTAAAAGGGTAGTGAGGGGGGTCAGAAACCCCAATGAAGGGCTTTCCAGGGCAAAATTGTGTCTATAACAGGAACATTCTTCATCACTTGGGGTTTTGAATTTCATTCATCTGATTATTTCCACTCAATTAGGATACATACTGTGAAAAACAGTGCTTCAGGACATGTTTTCAAAGAATTTCATTTGATCTTCTATAATTGTATAAATTATAGATCAGTGTTTGAAGTAACATACTGAAGTTAAACTTTGAAGGAACAGTTCATGAAGAACACTCAAGAAAAACGTTTCAAAATAAACCAAGAAATTTGATGAAGGAATCCCTCAGTTTGCTCAGTGCCACATGAAGCAAAGGTTTATTTTGCGACTAATGATAATAATTCTGGGAAAACACTTTTTGATTTTTATTCACACAAGTCAACTGTTACACCATTCCCTTCTGCTATTGTTCCGAGAAAAAATATGGCGAAACGTGACTTAGTGGATTATTTTTCTGCTGGTCCAAGAAATCACTTCTCAGCATCAGTTGATCGGAAAACTGCTGCTGGAAGGACAGTAGGGAAAGTGAAATTAGTCTCACCACAGTGAACTTACAGTCTCCTACACTTTTTTATTATTATTATTGTGCTATAGTAAATTGTATGAAACAATATTTTTTCTTTCTTCAGAAAATCGTGATGGAAATTGATGCATTTTTTTTTGATCTCACAAGAACAAATGTCTTGATTTCAGAAAACAATTATAAATTTTTTTGTGGGGTGCTATACAACTTATTTTTTGGTCACTGATGATGGAAGTGTTTATTGTACGAAACGAGATGTGACTCGTTTCAAATAAGTTGGTTGGTTGTATTTATGGTAATAAGCCTGTATAATTTTTTATTCCAGAAATATTGTATATGAATAATAAGGCGCTCGAAGGATGAATTAAAAATCGGGGACACGCCCGCGTAAGTCGGGTTTTGTGTAGGATAAAAATCAGGAAAGTGTCTCCTGATTTGGATTACGTGTTTCTCTGATGTCGGGATCCTGACGGTGGCTGCATATGATGTCGGAATCTCGACACCGTCAATTTATATTCTTTTTTTTTTTCTTCTCGGGTCCATCGTGAGTTTGTGACGTGACGAGTCTCGTCGTCGTCGTCGCCGCCTCTCTCCTGATTTTTTTTTTTTCGTGGGTTTCCTCTCGAAATTTATTCACACCTCGCGTTTCAATTTTATTCATTCATCGAAAAAAAAAAACTTGATACAATATACAGTCGGCGTATTTTTTATTTATTCCAAATGCGTTATGCTCGCATTCTACGCATTCCTTTCTTGCCGAAAATTTGAGATGTACTCGCGTAGTTTCGGTGTGATTCGACTTGATTCTAGGAAAAACTGGTTCTGGTATGTTGGAGGCATTTTGTCGCTGTCCCGTTTTCCCTTTTTGATCATTCCGAAGATAATCTTTGACAAGTTTCGAAATTCTTTGGTTTTTTTTACATTTTATGTTTGGGAATAGGGTCTTTTGAACCCTGTGTAAATATGCTGTATTTGATTTCGGAAAGAAATGAGTGTGTGTATTTGGTTTTCATAGAGAGTGTGTTGAAGATTTATTTTTGGGAGTTTTGAGATTGCGTCAAGTAGTGAAATACTGTAAATAACTTCTACAGAGTGAAAACTATAATTTAGTGACCATATTGCTCAAAATAATTTCACGGAAAGAAATTGTTCTTGCATGGTTTATTCACTTGAAAATATGTTTTATATTTCTAAAGAGAATTTAGTAGCTGCCAAATACAGGGTATTCATAGAAATGGTAATTAAAAGAGTTCTCAGACCAAGTTTTCTTCCCATGAAAAAGGGTTTAATTCCTTGTCTTGAGAATTTTCAAAAATAAAATTTTCAGCTGATGCCCATTAAGAAACTTGCTTGAGGTCATCTTTTAATTGATGTAAGATTGGTTTCATTATACCAAAAACGTTCATTTCATGATAATTACAATTGATACAATTGAATCAGCCCTCATCTGGTGCTTGAATCCTTCCAAGACCATTTAATTGAATGCCAATTGAATTTTGTTCCCAAAAAAGTTTATAAAAGTTCTTGGGATGAAATTTATTAAATTCTCTAGCTTAATACAGAGTTAATTATATGTATAGGTACGTCAGAAGATAAGGGGATTTTCTTGCTTGGCTGGGACCTGATTAATCTTTTGTATTACCCTCCTGATTGAGGGGTTCAGTGGAGATTTGTTTTTTGTTAGTTTTGATGCTGGATAAATCAGGATTGAAGGAGGATTTTTCCAGTCGTCGAGGTCGAGGGGCTCGTCATTGTCGACATCGACAGTCAGTTTCTCTCCTGTCAACGGCTAGTGAACACAGCATATTTCCTGCTGGTGGCGAGAAAAAATCCCGAAATATTTATTTTTTATATTTGAAAGAGTGAAAAAGTGGTCATCCAAGTATAGATTTCTTGCTGTTCTCAGGAGTGTTTTCCAATTAACTCATTTTTAAAATTTAAGTTTAAAAGTAAACGTTGAATAAATATCAAAATGTTACTTCAAACAAGAGATGCTGGGGAAGAAAGGATGATAACGGAGAACGAAGAAGAATTAAGTTGACATCAAATAAATATTGAGATTCCTCTTGCCTTAAATATTTATGAGTATAAAAAAAACTAATCATCAGATTCCATGTTTTTTTTCTTGATTTCCCACTTCATGGTGAGCGAAAGACTTGCAATGCATTAGCATGAAAACAAAATTACTCATACAAATAATTCAATATACAGATTTTAAAACCTTTTTCATAGAAATCATGGAATTATGAAGGCTCAAAAAGTTTGTTCTAAAATATTGTTTTCATTTCCAGCCTTGTTTTGTGAATTAATTCATGATATCAATTTCTGTTCGCAGAATGAAAGCCGCAAAAAATTGCCCACCAACATTCACGAAGACGGATTGCTCTTATTGTGGTGGTGGTAGAGCAAATGATGAGCCAAAGGAATGGCAAGAAGTGACATCTATGAATACAATTCTGACAGCCATGAGAAGTGCTGATGAGGAGGAATTGTATTCACACTTGAAGCAGCTCAAGTATTTGCTGTCAGTGGGAGCTGATCCTGATGCCTTGGATTCCAATGGGAAGAGGCCATTGCATGTGTGTATGGAAATGGCTGGTGTTGAGGCCTGTCAAGTCATCTTGCTTTGTAGACCCAACATTCAAGCTGTGGACTTCGATGGGAAAACTGCCTTGGGTCTTGAATTTCAGGTGAATTTTTTCTCAGAAAGAATATGTACTGTACTCGTATTCATTATTTATCCTTGCCTTTAAATTCCCAACAACTGTATATGCTTGATATTAAATCCGTCATGAAACTATGAAAAGTCCCAAATTCTTATGATGAACTTGGTCAGTTGTAATTGCAGCAGTCCTCAAATATATATTCCTGAAATCAATTTTGTATTTTTAGATTCCATTATATCTGACAAATTCTCAATTGCCAATCTACCTATTTTGACAGAATGATCCCCTGAAACCTGAATTGAGCCTGTTGAGACCAGGAGTCAAAGAAATTCTTGTAAGTTTTTAGCATAAATTTATTGAAAATGTATAATTTATGTACTGAAGAAAATTGAATCTATTTTCAGAATCAACACCTGGAATCTGGTTTTCAGAGCATAGCAAAATTGGCTTGTCAAAAACATTGGTACGCAGTGAAGAACCTTGTGAGAAGACAAAAGGTGTCACTTGTTGAGCTCAACACCTGCTTCGGCTCTAAAACTGCAGAACAATGGGCTGTTCATCATGGGAAGATTCAAATGGCCATGGAACTCTGCTATCATGTAAATTTCAAAAAGTTGTCTTTTTAAAACCTTATTGTACAATTGTATTGTTTCCTGCGTGTAGGCGAAGAAAAACTTCATTGACAGCAGCTCTCAACGTAAAGAAGAAATCAACAAACTGCAAGGAATGATCAATGCTTTACAAGAGCAAATCTTGAAACTTGAAAGATGGACTGGATTCACTGCTGCTTCACAAATGGAGGCAAGAAAAATCCCTGAAGATTCATCCCCTGAGACAACTGTGACTGAAAGTAGTGACGAACTGATTTTTGATGATGAAGACAAAGCGACAAAAAGAGTGGTTGCAGTGATCCAGCCTTCTGCAAGAGTCATCTGTCAAGCTGCAGCCAACATTGTAGTGCAATCTCAGGAAGGTCACATTTACTTTGGATTCGAGCCTGTTTATGAAATGGAAACGTATGATGATGGTGTGAATTGTGAGGAATCCTGACACCCCCATTGTTGCAATATTCCTTGTACAGTATTTCTTATTCTTGCACCTGCTGTGATGGCATCATGGCTATGATTGTTAGTCAAAAGATTGGGCATTTTTAGCTATCTTAAATTACTGATTTATCCTTTTTTGTTGTTGTTGCTGCTCTGTATATTGCTTCTGTGATGAAATACAGTGAGATAGAAATCTGATGAAACCCGATGCTGACTGAATTTCTTAAATACTGTACATGCAATTTTCAAGCGAAAACAGTGCACCATCATGAATGATACTTTGCCCCTGGAAAAATCATCATGGCTGCCTTGATGGGTAGCGGCGGCGTTGCAACACTTGACGCGTAGGTCAGTGGGAGACGTTGCTACGTCGGAGTTGAAGCGCTTGTGGGAAAAGGAAGTGAAAGTCGTTGATTTCAGGTGTGGACTGAATAATTCTTGGGTTTTCTAAAACCATTTCGGCAATGAAACTGGGACACACTGCCCACCAAGCTGAATTTAACGCTAGATGAATAGTCTTCGGTATCGTTCACGGTGTGCGGGATAGTTCGCCGTGTTTGATTGGAAGTGATTGATCATTTGAAAATACGTGCAATATTGGGGAATTTCGGATTGCAGTAAACCAATCTTCTGAAAACCTCTCAATTAACCTGTAGGCCAATCGGGGTTCCGACGGTGTTGCTAGGAGTACTCTACCAACTAGCTCGGAATAATTTGATCATAGCCGTTTTTTCATTATAATTAGCAGTTACGACTAGCCCGTTGAAGATTTCGTGTGGTTCTTCTGTGTGATATTTATACAGTGCATCTTTTCGTGGATTTTCTCTTTTAAAGCTCGTGACGTTCCTTTTGGGGCAAGATGAGTATCGTGGAAAAGATCGCCCAAATCGAGGCCGAGGTATGTTTGTTCATATGACTCAATTTTTTTGAATATTGTATATTGCAAAGGTTTTTCTTTTTTTTGTGAGGATTCCTCGTTACGAAATGACATTAAATCCGAATTTTCAGATGGCTCGTACGCAGCGCAACAAAGCGACTGCGGGACACTTGGGACTTCTCAAAGCTCGTCTAGCAAAGCTGCGTCGTGAGCTCATCACCCCAAAAGGGGGTGGCGGAGGTACTGGAGAAGGCTTCGACGTTGCTAAAACCGGAGACGCTAGAGTGGGCTTTGTTGGTAAGTTTTTTTTTAGTCTTCGTAACTTCTGTGATGGCCACATCTGAGAGACTTTTCTCTTCGCTCAGGATTTCCGTCCGTGGGAAAATCAACACTTCTTAGCAACCTAGCCGGTGTGTACTCTGAAGTGGCTGCTTACGAATTTACCACACTGACGACTGTTCCGGGATGCATTAAGTACAAGGGAGCCAAAATTCAAGTGAGTAGCGAAGAGACTTCCTTTTGATTACCTTCGAACTGACGTTTCAAGCAATATTAGTACACGTTCGACCCCATCACATTTTAAAGAAAATCCCCTGATCAAAGAGAAAAGGTGGCCATCAGGAGGGTCCTCAAATGTTTACGCGTAGCATTTTCAGTTAGCTATGTTAAATTCATGCTTTGACCTCTTCGAAATTGTCGGAAGATGTCCATTGAGCTGATAGATTAATCAATTTTTTCTAAATTTTTCCAACGATTCCTAAACTAGCGCAGCGCATAGAAAGTGTTGGAAAACCTGCGATTCTCTGACTCGCCTCAAGTTATGTGTGTTTGTGCTTGAAACTGAAAAAATCGTCTTCGAACATTGCAAAATATTCATTTTTTTTAGCTGTTGGATCTTCCTGGAATCATTGAAGGCGCCAAGGATGGCAAAGGCAGAGGTCGACAAGTAATAGCTGTAGCCCGGACTTGCAGTCTCATTTTCATAGTTCTGGACGTGCTGAAGCCCTTGGGCCACAAGAAAATCATCGAACGAGAACTCGAAGGCTATGGGATCCGATTGAACAAAGATCCCCCCAACATCGTGTATCGACGCAAGGACAAAGGTGGGATCAACTTGCAGACCATCGGTACGCAAAGCGAGCTTGACCTGGACCTCGTCAAGTCCATCTTGTCGGAATACAAGATCCACAATGCGGACATTACGCTGAGATACGACGCCACTGCTGATGACTTGATCGACGTGATTGAAGGCAACCGAATCTACATCCCGTGCATTTACTTGCTCAACAAGATTGATCAGATCACCGTCGAGGAGTTGGACATCATCTATCGCATCCCGCATTGTGTCCCGATTTCCGCGCATCACAGGTGGAACTTTGACGACCTGCTTGAAAAGTTGTGGGATTATCTCCAGTTGCTGCGAATGTAAGTTTCTGTGTGTTTCGAAACTTCAATAATCAAGGTTTTTTTTTCTACTGTAGAATTTCAAGGGATCAGCGCAAAAATTTATTTGACTTACGGAGGTTTCGAGCTATTGAAACAATTAAGAATTTTACGGAACCGTAATCGGGGATATTCTGGGCCTTGAATTACTTCTTGAATGAGTTGACAATATGCTGACATTGGAAACGAGGGTTTTATTCGTCGAAATAATTTTCAACTTTTTTCAAAACACATCGTAACATATTTCATCATATTTATATTTCCTGTGTCAATCAGATATAGCCAAAGGGCCCCCAATTATGAAGCTTTGAGAGGGAAAAACTTAGCGTTAGAGATGTTTTTATTGAAATATTTCTAAGGGATTTAAGATAGGGACGCAGAACAATTTCACGAGTGGAAGTTCGAGTTTTTGAGTTGCAAATGTGATTTATTAATTTTTGGATTCAGTTACACGAAGCCCAAAGGACAACTTCCTGACTACGAATCCCCCGTCGTGTTGCAGTCTGGGTTGAGAACAGTGGAGCATTTTTGTGATAAGCTGCACAGGACCATCATGAAGGAGTTCAAATAGTGAGTGAACTAAGTGGTCATTCCTGTGAAAATGTATTAATTTTGGTGGAAAAAGTAAAAATCAAGTAATTTTGATGAACCCGCTCACAAACACTGTAAAATATTTTTCCACAGTGCTTTGGTCTGGGGTTCTTCAGTGAAGCATCAGCCGCAGAAGGTGGGAAAGGACCACGTGTTGAATGACGAAGACGTTGTGCAAATTGTGAAAAAAGTTTGAATTCTCGGGAACCAAATGTATCAGAGTGTATAAATTCTATCGATTTTTTTTCAAAAACTTGAATGTGATGTAAAATGGTTTTTCTAGGGTAATGAACTGTGTCCGAGTGAAGCTGAGGCATTTTTTTGTAATAGCTCGTGTGAAAAATGTCGCGAATCGTTCGCTTTCTTCCGAAGCTGATGCCCTGTTGTCACCGCGTCAGTTCACTAAAGGTAATTTCAATTTGTTACTGTCTTAAATGTTCGCTAATTGGAGATTCCTCGAATTCGCAGATGTGTTGCTATTCAAGTACGAGAATCCGCGCTACTACAAGATGCTGACGATTTTTGGAACGTCTCAGTTTATCTTTTGGAGCGCTTTGTCTTTCTTTAACTGGACGTCTCCATCTGATGAGAAGCAAAACGAAGAAGTGCAGGTGGACGACGAATTTCTAGAGAAATTGAGGGAAAACTTTCTCTTGAAATTCGCTTCGAAGTTTTCGGATTACCGGGCTTTGAGTGGTCTCTATTTTGCACTTGGTGAGTGATTTTTAACATCATCCTGTCTTCTTAAATTAAAAGAACACGAAGTCTCTGATTTTTATAAAAGATTTGACAGCCTTTCTCGCAGGATGTGAGGAAGTTTCTAGCCTGGCTGGTTTTCACAAATCGAAGAAGCCGTCGATCATTTTCTGCATGAAAATACTGTACTCCTGGCAAAAGAAATGACTTAATTTGCATAAAATATTCGGGGGTCGACGTGTTGCGTTAATTTATTTTTTCCTTGTGCTTCGACAACCACCGCTTAAATCTCTTTACTTTCTACCGTTCCTTTTTCACAATTTTCCCGTAATTCTTCCCAGATGTGTTGTAATTGGATTTTTTTTGTTTGCAGGGTATGGTTGTTTGTTGGTGACGTGGTTGATGGCCTTACGGTCGGTACGGATGCTGGTATTGCGAAAAGGGGGTATGGATGTGACATTCGTGACGTATGCGCCGTTCGGCTCGTCACGTATGGTGACAGTGCCGTTGGCGACAGTGTCGTGTGCTCGTCATCGAGGCGCTTTTCGAAGCCAAATGCCAGTGAAAGTGTTCGGAAGAATGTTTCATTTTACGCTCGACAAACGCGGAAGCTTTGTGAGGCCGGATTTGTTTGACGTCACGGTTGGGGTCAAACGATAGTGGTTTTTTTTTTCCTATTTGGATGAGTGTAGGCGTAAGAACATCGAGTCTCAAAAGGGCAAGGGCACAAAAGAGCAAAGTAATGTTCGTTGTGTGAATGATTTTGAGTGCCCATGGTTTTTTGATGCTAATTTGTCACCCATCCAGACTCTAGTTCATTCGGGATAGACGTTTTCTGTGATGTGAAATCGTTTTTCGGTTCGGATGCAAAATCCGGAGAAATGCTGTTCCGATTTTTAGCGACGGTTTTTTCTTTAATTTTTCATTTCTTCTCTTGGCAGAGAATTGAAAACATGGCTGAAAAGCCGGTGTGCACGTTTGTTAAGCGGAAACGTTTAGGAGGTGGAATGCGGAAGGCGAAGGAATCGAGTGAAGGTGTGTTGAGATTTATCAAGAAATATTTAGTGTAATAACTAATAATCTTTGTTTTTTTTACGAATTCAGGAAGCAGCAGTGATGAAAAAGAACCTACGGTTATTCGAGTTGAACGGAAACGGAGAGAGAATCCTTTAATCCAGGGTGTGAGTCTATCGCGCAATTTAGTTCGTCAGTTCCTTTTTTTTCATTTTTGTTTTCCTTTTTGGCAGACGTCTGGAATTCGTAGTAAAAAGAAGAGGGAAAAAGGCGAGTCGAGTGACTCTGACCGAGAAGACGTGGGGGTTTCGTATAAGGCCAATTTTCAGGCCCGCGAAGGTCCGTCAGACATGGGCGCCACTGCGACATTCGAGCTCGACACGGCGCACGACAGGGATGCCAGAGCGACTTTTGAACGCACGAGGAAACTGAACGAGGTTATTTCACTCAAATACAGTACTGAATTTATTTGCATTTTCACTCTTATTTACTCGTGATTGAATAGTTGTAGAAATGTTTTTATTTTTTAGTTGGCGGGCTTGAGATTTTAGGTGTGACCCGATTGGTAATGATGGATGATCTTTTAATTAGGAGCTGAAGGATGCCCCGGATGATAAAGTGTATCGTGGGATGAGTACCTATGGTCAGTTTAAGGACATCAAGGACAACGCGAAAGGAAGCGCAGGCAACAAACTCAACTCGGTGGGACCCATTAGAGCGCCGCAGAATGTGCGAGCAACTGTGAGATGGGATTACCAACCGGACATTTGCAAGGATTACAAGGTCTGTTTCATCATGCTGAAAATGATTAGATACAATACTGTGATGATTTTGAATGTTTGAAATGTATTTACTGGAGTACTACGCGCATCTTCTTTTCCTCGCAATTGAGTAGAATAAAGGGTGTGCGCGCCATAGATGGGTATACATTTTTCAAGAAGTTCAGATGTCCATTATAAATTATTTGATTTTAGTTGGAAAATTTGGACCAATTTCGACAGAAAATCTTTTTGTATTGCAAAAAACGATCATTACTTGAATTCCAATTTGGGTGTTCTAAATTTTTAAATATTGCACTTTTGGAGTCACTAAAAATGGTGTGCACATCTTACTTAGGGATTCAATTTTTATCAAAATTTTTGGTGAAAACCCCTGGTTTGTGTTTTTCTTGCGGGCAAGTGGTACTTGAGTAAATACGGTACAAAGCAGTGGCATCATTTACTTATGTACGCAAGTACTATGCACACCTTTTTCCCGCAAAATTAGAAGGAAAAAATTTTGTTGGGACATCATTTAATCGCCGTGGGCGGAATTACGTCATCCTGTGTCGCATTCCAGTACTGTACTGTATAGTCTTGTATATTTCTAGTAATTATGACCTCGTACGAACTTATTAGGAAACTGGATTTTGCGGGTTTGGAGACAGTTGCAAGTTTCTCCACGATCGATCCGATTACAAGCACGGCTGGCAAATTGAGCGAGAACTGGAAGAAGGTCGTTACGGAGCCGATGACGACGATGCGTCACGTTACGAAGTTGCCAGTGACAACGACGACGATTTTCCCTTCAAGTGTATCATTTGCAGAGGATCATTCAAGCATCCGGTCGTGACCAGGTGTAAACACTATTTTTGTGAAAAGTGCGCTTTGGAACGGTACAAGAAGTCGCAGAGGTGTTTTGCTTGTGGAGCCCAAACGTCGGGAGTGTTCAATCCAGCCAAGAAGTTGATTGAGCGACTGAAGAACGAGCCGGAACAAAAATCATCTGATGATGATGATGATGAAGATGACGTGGACGAGGATGCTGCTGTTGATCAAGAGGAAAAAAGCTAAAGAATACCTTTCAATACACTTTTGTTTACGTGTTGTCACTTGAGTCGCTGGTTTCTTTTTTTTTTCTCAACTGATTCTCTTCTTTCTAGAAAAAAAAAGACCGGGGTGAAAATGGCGAGTTTGTTGCCGAAATTTCGCGCGAACGTGTCCTCGCTTCGGTTTGCAGCAAGACACTGCTTCTATTCGTCATCGACGACTCCCTCGTCTTCTTCGTCATCACTGTCCACCTTACCAGAGAAAACTGGTGCGATCAGTCAAAAGGAAACCCATACGGGTGTTGTGTGGGATGACAACGATTACCGTCTGGCACGTTTTGCCGATACGAAGAGGGAAGTGAATCCCAACTTTGCGATCGACCTGATTGCTAAAGTGCCTCCCATCAAGGTGAGTGAATTTAATTTAAAACAAAATTTTTGCTGCAAGAATGTATGAGGGCTTATCAGATAGAAAAAAAAATACCTGAAAGAAATATTCGCTTCCGTAATGTTTTCGAAGAATTCTGAGAATTCTCTAATCTCAAAAATCATTTAAATCCATTCATTCAGAGCGAAAATATAAACCCTTCCTCATGATCAATTCTCGAAGCATTCCTGTTCTCATTTTCGAAGAAAAATTTGCAATGCGAGGTTTTTTCCCCTTTTCTTTTTTGTTTGGTCCAGCATTCTCAACTGTTGTGAATAAGTTCCGCCCTCCATTAAATTCTGGGGGAATTTATTATAGAATGTACGGTACTTGAAGATGTATCAGATTTTATGGAATTTATCCTGTAAATTGTACAGGTGTAAAACGTGCCTATTTCGCAGATTCGATGAATTGTTCGAAATGAATGTGATTGGCTTTGTTTTTATGATGATTGTTAGGGTTTAAGTGTGCCAACTTCGATGGAAATGTATATACAGAACTCATAGTGTGCTGCTCAGATACCGAATTGAATCTTTAATTGAATCAGCTTTTTTAATTTTATTTATTTTTTGCTAGGTCAAGCAAAGGGTGTTTTGGTGTGATGGAGGGGATGATAAATTGGGCCACCCGAAGGTCTACATCAACCTGGATAAGCCCGGTCCACAGACTTGTGGCTACTGTGGGCTTCGCTATGTCCGAGATGAGGATCACCACCACTGAAAATTCGCTTCTGCTTACCGACTTTCTCTGATGTTTGTGCAGTGAAACCGATATTTGAAATGTAGTCTTACCCTGCTCGCGAATTGAAGTTCTTGAAAACGGTGCAATTTTGCGTGACTGCAATTTTATGTTAGTGTGTAAATTGAGATGAAAGAAAGGACATTTTTGAGCCGGGATGTTGTAGTTGCTAGTGAAGGACAGTAAAATCTCGTTACAACAAACCTGTGGGGAGCAGGAAAAAAAGCTTCATTAAAACGATGAATTACTTTTAATGTGATTCGAACAACGTTGTTGCTGTTGGACAGGGAATTGAAAAACGGCTTATTTGCAACCAATAATTTGTTATAACGAGATTCTACTGTATTGCTAATGGAAATAATTTATGTATGGCTTTTTAATGCATTTCCTTAGCTTCTTGCTATTTAGATCTTTGCTTCATGTAATCCAGTTTTTTTTTTCCAGGAAAACGCGAGATAATCGAGTGCTGACTGTGTAGTTTAAGTTGAAGGAAAGAAAGCGTGAAAAATGTCGGAACCGGTGAAGATCCCCGAAGAAAATAATGATAGTTTCACGCCGGATGCTTCGCCTGGCGTCGCAAATTTATCGTTTCCGAGTCCGATCATCACGAAGCGGATGCGATCCAATTCGATGTACGTTTTATGAAGAAATTTCCCCGTTTTTTTTTGTGAATTTTTAAATCAATATTTTTTCATATTTGAAAGGTCTGAGCGTTTGTTGATGAATCCTGAACATAAAGGCATGGTCAAGTACTTCAGCAGGTCTCACGGGCATGGTTTTATCAAACCGAATGACGGTGGAACCGATATTTTCCTGCATATCTCCGAGTAAGGCCTTTTGTGAAGTCCATATTTGTTTCAGATTTTTCTCATTCTATTTTTGTGATTTTTTTTTTCAGTATTGATGGCGAATATGTTCCGAAATCTGGGGACGAAGTAGCGTATAGGTGAGTATTCGACGTCTTTTTATGTTCATTTCCTTCAAAAAATAAAAGGAAAAAAATTGGAGACGAATGCCGTAAAATCTCGTTACAAAACATTTTTCAGTTTGACCATCTTTTTCTCAAGTCCCGGCAGAAAGCCCATAGAGTATGCATGTTAAAACAGTCTTGTGATCATTAATTTCACGATTCCAGTGTAACAAAACTTCTTTTTTAGAAATGATTCATCAAATTCTCCAGGTAGAAATTTCCTTACTAAGGGAGACACAGTCTGAAAATTTTGGGTTCCAAGTACTGTATGACGAATTTGTTTTTGTAGCATGGGTGGAAGCTGTAATCAGTGAAAAGCATGCTTCCAAGTGGTTCTACATGTCATCCTCCAAGAGATTAATGCAATTGATGTAGTGTATGATTGAATTTTTGTTTTCGAAAGATCACTCAGTTTTTCAACCAATAATAAATATCTCAAAATGCCAGAAGAGCAAGAATGAATTGATTTTAGGCAGGTATGACGTGGATATTTTTCCGATCATTAATTTTGAAAATCTCGCTATGACATATTATTCGGTATAGTCCCCAAAAGTTTTTTGTAATGAGATATGACCAGCTGGTTTTTTTTTTGTTGCTTCGCCAGGTTGTGTCCGATTCCTCCCAAGATGGAGAAAACACAAGCGGTGCACGTGAGAATTGTCAACTTCTGCCCGAGTCGCCATCAAAGGTGGACTTCACCTTGCGAACAAGATGAAGACGAGGCGATTCCTCCGACGTCTTCTATGCCTGCCATGGCCGACTAGGCAAGATTACGACTGACTCGGAAACAAATGAACACCAACAAAAAATTGCGTGGAAGTGAAAAGAATTTTGAGCCAGAAAAGCGTTCAGGAATGACACGCTCTCAAATGAAAGAGAGCCAACAAGAGCGCCGGGTTGAATTTCCAGAAACCGTGGAAGTTTGAGGGGTCTATGTTTCTTTTTTTTTTTCTCTCTCTTGGTCTTGTGCAATCTTGGCAAATTTCGCGCAAAATTTCCTGGAAATTTATCGTGACAAGATTTGTGTGTGACCTTTTTGACAAAATATTTTTAGACGTTTCGGTTGCGAAACTTGGGAGATGCTGGGACGTGTGCTCAAGCGACATGACCGCCTGCGACCAACAATCCAACGTTAGCTCTAAAAACGCGCTTTTTTTACATTTTCGATTGAAAAGACTTCTAATTTAGTGCCTCGACTTCTTTTGGTGCAGGTTAACATTTTTTTCTTGCGATTAGGGATTGAATCTTCTAGCATTTTCTTCGCCGCATACACGAAGAAATATCTTCGGTATCGTCCCTGATTATTATAATATTTTTTTTGGACAGAAGCTTGTTGCTGCTATAGCCAGCGTTACCGAGCTGTTCTTTTTTTTTTTTGTCGAGGTGTACGAAGAGAATCAAACTTCGGGTATATTGGGGATTTTTCGTTGGAATGAGTGCCACGAGTTATGGCCGGAATGCGGCAGATCAGTGGGCGGAGAAATCGTATTTTTTTTCCTGAGAGAACTGAAACAGGAACAACATTACGCTGTACTGTTCGTGTGTGGGGGGAAGAGAAATGAGTGTGTGATGTGTTTCTTGTCTTGAGAAGCCGTCTGATTTTTTCTTCCGCCCACATCTGTTAACTTTTTTTTTTTCTGGTGCGCGATGAAGAAACAGAGCGAGTCCGCAATGGATTCTTTACGAGAATGTTGACATTTTGAAATTTAGCCTTTTGCTTTTTGTGTCGGAATTTCAAAGGGAAAATTATTTTTTTGTTTTGCTTTTTTTTCAGGAAGAAGCGCAGTGTGAGAATGAAACCAACATGTTGAAAAACGTGAAGAAGCAGCAGCAGCATATGTTGTAAAACGGTGAATCAAGTGTCGTCCACGATGGAACGAGACGTTTGTTCTGCAGTTTTCTAAAAGACTGGTGACGACAGATCACAAGCAAGAAAGATGAAAGTCGACATCGATGGCCTTGAAGTCCTCTTCCCGTTCGACTACATCTACCCCGAGCAGTATTCGTACATGGTGGAACTCAAGAAAGCCCTGGATGGCAAGGGGCATTGCATGCTGGAAATGCCTTCGGGAACAGGAAAGACCATTTCTTTGCTGGCCCTCATTGTGGCCTACATCAAAGCCCGACCCGGAGACCTTTCCAAATTGATCTACTGCTCCCGAACTGTTCCGGAAATCGAGAAGGCCCTGGAAGAACTCCGGAAACTCATCGCATTCCACGAGAAACATCCTGACGGCAAAGTGCATCCTCCGTTCCTGGGCCTAGCTTTAAGTTCTCGGAAAAACCTGTGCATTCACCCGGATGTGAGCAAAGAGCGAGACGGGAAAGTGGTGGACAGTCGTTGTCACGAGCTGACTGCGTCTTTCGTGAGGGCCAAACGCGCGGAAAATCCGGGCATTCCTTGTTGCGATTTCTTCGAAGGCTTCGAGGCCGAAGGCAAATCAGTCGGGCTTCCGAGTGGCGTTTACAACCTGGAGGATTTGAAGGAATACGGAGCCCAGAAGGGCTGGTGTCCTTATTTTGTTGCTCGTCGTGCCATTTTGCAGGCCCACGTCGTCGTTTACAGCTACCATTACCTCCTCGATCCCAAAATCGCGGAATTGGTATCCAAGGAAATGGGTCGACAGTCTGTGGTTGTTTTCGACGAAGCCCACAACATTGACAACGTGTGCATCGATTCGATGAGTGTGAAGATTAATAATCGGATTTTGGACAGGTTAGTTCAGTCCTGCGAAGTCGGAACGTCCGCATGCTGGACCACGTTTTCCCCATAGACTTAATTATGAATATTTCCCATAGACTTCAAAGAAAGACAGAATTTCAGGAAATTAGAATTTGTCATATTCGGGCTCTCAAATTGCTTTTTGAATGAGTTGACAGGATGCTGCACTTGAAGAGGCGAAGGGTTTATTGCCCAATTAGTCTTCAAGTTCCTTTCTAAACTCATTAAATTGAATATGTATTGCTTTTCTTCTTTTTTTTATAAAATAATAGCCAGAATGCCTCAAAAATTCGAGTTACGGAGGTTTGAGTACGAAATCCTTCAATTAAGGAGGTTTTCAAATTTTGAATTGCGCAGGCATTCGACTTTTCGAGGTTCGACTGTATGCGTTGAAATGAGGTTGATTTCAATTTTTTTCTTCTTTTGTCAGAGGATTGATGAATGTAGCGTCGTTGAGCGAGACGCTGGAAGCCATCAAGGAGACGGACGAGGCGAAACTGCAAGAGGAATACCTTCGCCTCGTGGAAGGTCTTCGGGAAGAACGAGAAGCCCGGGAGAACGATCAATCCCTCGCCAATCCCGTCCTACCCCAGGACATCTTGGACGAAGCTGTGCCTGGCAACATTCGGCAGGCGCTGCATTTTGCCGCCTTCATGCGGCGTTTCATCGACTACCTCACCAGTCGTCTGAGTGTTCAACACGTGGTGCAAGAAACGCCGGCGGGGTTTTTGCGCGACGTGAAGCAGAAGGTGGCCATTGATCGACAGCCGCTCCGGTTTTGCGCCGAGCGATTGGCGTCCCTCATGCGGACGCTGGATATCCCTGATCTCGGAGACTTTGCCTCGCTCACTCGAATCTCCCACTTTGCGACACTCGTGTCCACTTACACTAAGGTTTGTAAAGATATGAAAAAAAAAAAACAAAGATGATAATAATGCACGGAGATACGGATGGTTGATTCGACTTGGAGACACGTGAAAATCAAGAAATAAGCCCTGACTTTAGGACAAACCTTTGAGATGCTGACACTTTTCCAGCATTTTTAAATAAATGGCACAATGTTTTTTTTTTCTTCAAAATTTTAATATCTTGTCATCATATATTATTTGAGTGTACCCTGACAAGCACAGGATACTGACTTAGTGTACATTCTTTGTGACTCGCTTATCCCGTTACCTCTCATTAGTTATACAGCATGTATTGCGGTCACGCGCATCCGGTTTACTTTTCCTCGCGCTGGTTCATGACCGGTCATTCCTCTCTGCATCATTGAATTGATAAAAGGATGCCCGAGCATACCTTCGGTATTCATTGTCTGTGGAGATCTTGTGGAAGTTGTTGCTGA